AACCAATAAATGGTTTTTATGCCATGCTTTAACGTATAATGAAAAAAATTTACCACATTTAGCAAATTTTATCACATATTATAAAGCCATATTTTAATGTTTTAAGCGCTTCGGTAAAAATTACCTAGTTTTTTTGCTGTTTCCCTAGAGCCAGATATACGATAAATTTTACTACATTTTGGTAGTTTTAACCCTAATTTTTTTTTTTTTTTTTTGCGTGTAACACTCATTGATTGAAAACGTTCTTTTTCAGATAGAGTAGCACATTACTCTAGAGCTTTAACGGTTTTTGATATTTCTGCTAATTGAATATGCAAATAAGCGTCAATATAAAATACACTATATATCTTTCTCATTTTTCTACTTCATCTCTCTAGTTTCTAATAATGTATGACGTATGATCAGCCGGGACTGAATTTTTGGTGCTTACATGTTATGGAATAAAAAAGTTTTCTGCTTTTATGTTAAATTTTAATAAGGCGTCATCTACACGATTATTTTGGAGCGGTGGTACAGGATATTCAAACCCTTACTTTTATGACTATTCTACTTCTGGAAACTTTTTATTGATTGGGCATGTAATTGAATTATTTAACTACTAAAAACTACTTTATTGAAATTATTCTGTTTTCTTTTTACATCTTTCAAACATCATTCATAAAATATTGGAATGAATAATTACTGATAAGTGCAAGGGGCCAACGCTCCTTTGAACTTTGAAGACTAGAAACTCAACTATTTCTTAAAAAAAAATATTTTAACGATTTCTACGAACAAGGCATTTGTGTTCACCATAATGCATGGATTATATTTACATCTATAATTTGATTAGAAATCGTGAATTTACAATATCTTAAAACTTGAGTGTTATCCAGCACTTTAAAATATATTATTTTCTGAGAATAAAGCCCTGCCATTTTTTTCATGAAGGTACTTCAGCTTTAATAAATACTGCTAATAGGGGGACCGGAAAGCAATGCCGTTTCGGTGCATGAAATATTCCATAGTCTTAAAAACCAATTCATTTTTTACGATTCATTTCGATTCATTTTTGGTCCGGCATTGAGAGGTTGTTGCTAACGAATGTTTGAATATATTAGTGATTAAAAATAAAAACTTGATAACAAATATGAAATGCACTGAAACGATATTACCTTAATACAAAAGGCCAACGCACCCTTGAACGTTGAAGACTAGTAACTAAATTATTTCTTTCCCGAAATTCATCTTGGATAAACAAGGCATTCGTGTTCGCCATAATTTATTGATAATACTAATATCTGCATTTTGCTTCGAAAATTTGAAATTACTATATTTTAAAACTTTAGTGGCAGTTTAAAATATAATTTTTTCCCTCCAAGAACAAACACTGTCACTTTTTCCACGAAAGTACTTTTAAAATCGCTACTAAATGTTACGTTTTCGCAATGGCCTGAAATGTGTTAGGAAATTTTCTAATGCATTGTTTTAGCTTTTCGTATCCGGATGCAGTAATTGTATTGTAATAACGTCCCAGTCTTACATAATTTTTTTTATCGGCAATCTGAGATACTTTCGCCGATAGTTCAACCATTATCGGTGAAAGTCGTTTCCATTTTGGCCTTGGTACTGTAAACACAATGTATGATATAACCAAAAGCGTGTAGAACTTTTAATTATCTAATAATTGGTATTGTTTGTCTTGGAAAGCATTATTTTAAATAGTTGTAAGAAATGTTCTGACTTTTTTGTCGCTTAAGTAGTTACATTTCCATTAGGCATTCGTTTTTTTTTATCGTAAGTTCATCTGTAATTGAATCCAGGGTAACGCCATTGTTTGAGTAACGCGATAACAATATGAGCTTAATGCCATTTTAGGTTATCCAAATAATGTAGCTACCTAGTTTTTATATTATATTAAGGAGTTTCTTTTTTTTATGCTTGTTTAAAATCTATTATCCGTTTATTTGTTTCAAGAATTAGGAGATTCTAGACCTCCCTTGCTTCGCTTACCCAATTCTCATGTTCGAGTCGTATTAATTTTGGTTTATAACTGTATTTAAATGTGCTAGTTGAAGGTATTGAAACAAATAAAAATTTAAATATTACTAGATAAAAGCACAACATTTTTTTCTTTTGATCTTATAAGGCAGTGGTAATGTTTTTTGAAAAAATAATTATTCTTAAAGAGACACTTTTTTGAAGAAAAAATTTTTTAATGATTATGCTATGACACATTGTTTAGTAAACATAGAATTAAACATCTAAACATTTAGTTTCAACTATTTTTTCTTTGTTAAATTAAGCAGTTTATTTTTAAAGTTGTCCCTTTTATTGTCAAATAATATGTGTAGACATGTTTCAATAAAATTTTAGTGTTGTATTTTTAGGGATCTTTTAGAAGTTAGTAAAAGTGAATGTTCATCAAACAAAATTATTAGACAAGGAAACAAAATAATGACTCCAAAAATAATGAGCCTATAAAATAAATGTATGAAACTGGAAAATAAAATGATAAGCATAAAAAACAAAAAGCTGTGCCCAGAAAGCTAAATTATATCCAGAGAAAAAAATTATTAGTTAAGGACCATTATCATCTGTCAAATAAAAGACAAACAAACAAATTGATGAGTATAGTAAGCAAAAATAATGATTAGACAAGAAGACAAAAAATTGAAACTACTAAAGGAATGTTTTTCAAAGCGATGCTTTATCAGCAATAAATTTTCTTATCATTATCAAAAAAAAAATCCTTTCAATAAATTTAAAAAAATATTTATTTTATTAAAATTTACAAAAATCAGTGAATAAAAAAATGAATTTAATTTGCACTGGTTTCAAAGCTAAAAACTATTTATAAAGTTATTAAATTCAGTGTGTATACCACTAAATAACCATGGACAAACTTCTCATTATTCTTGTAACAGTTAATAACAGTTGAATTTTTGTGAAGAAAAAAGAAATGGAATGGCAATAACCTTTCCAAAAATCCCTAAACTTACTCAGCCAATTAATAGGAATAGGAGCTGTACAATTTTCAGAACAATGCTGTCATAGCCGACGGCCAACTATAAAAGAAAATAAAAAAGACCTATCGAGAAACAAAACATTTTCCTTGTATTATTGGATGTAAACATACAAACTTTTTCTTTAGTTCGAATTTGTATTTCACGGAGCGTATCTGATTTAAAAATAATCTTAAAGTTCAGGGAGATTAACAACCAAAATGGCGAATCATCTGGAACGTTTCTGTGTCTGATGGCTATTAGAGGAAAGGGTTCATTTGTTCCTTGCTTCGAAGACAAAAATTAAAAGTGATCAATACTCTTTTTTTTTATAACGTTGTTTTAAGTTTCGGTTTCCGTGTTTGGATAAAACAGACAGATATAAATGACAAGAGGGATAAAATTATATTTTTTTCTTCTAAAGCAATATTTCCTTGAGAACATAAGAATAGGAAGAAAGCATTTTAGAACGAGATAGATTAGCTGCTGGTGTTATTGTCGTTTCTTAGCTTAAAATATAAGTAAATCGGAAGTATTTTGTAACCGAAGAAGCATTAAACAATAATTTGGTTTTATTAATAAGAAATCACTCACTTGGGTAACACATCCACTTGTAGTAAAAGGAAAAAGAAACTAAAACGAGATGTTTTTATTGTTAGGCACTATTACTAATATTTTTTTATACTAAAAACATCAAATACTCGTTAAAAATATAAAGTGAATTAAAAAATGTAGAAAAATTTCGAAATCAACTAAAAAAATATTAAAACTATCTAAGTCGGCTAAAAATATTAAAAAAAGATCAGGTAATTTTAGGAAAATATTAAAATATATTATAAATTAAAGTATAAAAAAATTCTCGCAGTAATCTGAAAATAATTTTTTTTTAAAATTGTCTGAAAAAGACTTATAAAATGATTCTAAAAAATATCTTTTCTTCATGTGTTGAGACTTAAAACTATTTTTAATATTTTTATACAACATATTTAATGTAGGCAACGATGATTCTTTAAAAATATAGACAACGATGAATCTTTAAAAGTGCGAGATCAATCAAATCCTATTATCTGAGAAACGATATAAGTGTATAGATAAAGAGTACCCATTGAAATGTTTATACACCTCCTTAACTGCCAAGCGTTTGAATATATAGTTATAAAATTGGTGTCTTGGTGTAGTAAAGAGGTTATGCACAAGATGAGACCGCTAACGACACCACTAGGTGAAAAACTGTGGAACGTTCTATCTCGAAATCGGTACTAAATAGAGGGGAAAAGTACATTTAAAATCTATAAAGTCTCATTGATTAATTACTTAAAGATGTTTTGTGGACAATAACACGGAGAACAAAATATTTAAAAATAGACTTTATTTCTTTGAAATATCTCATTCTAAGGTGTAACGAAACTATTTATTAAGTTCAAAATAAGAAAAATGCTTTTCTCTCATAATATAAAAGGGTGAATAGCTTTTAATCTATTAATAAAGATCAAAATAAAGATGGCTACTTATCTTAACACGTTGAATGCCATGGGGGGTCACCGGCGACCGGCACTGAGTTTGTTCGTAGCTCCAGGGGGTTCACCGGCAACGAGCGAAGCCAAGGTTATTAGAAGCACATAATTCGAGTAAATTTTTAATGCTTCGAATTTCTTTAATATTATTATGGTTACTAAAATCGTTTGAAGAATTTAATGCAACACATACTGAGAAAATCATTTTGGCTAGATGGGTAAGTCATGTAAAATTAGCGTGGCATTCAACGCGGTAATCAATTGAATCCTGAATTTTGCGATTTATGAATTCGCAGAAAAAGAATTTTTCTGTCTTCTTACTCAAATGAGTAAGGTAGCTAAGAAAGGCTAAATTATTGAAATGCACTTTTAAATAAATTTTCCATTGGTTCTTTTGGTTGAAATAGGTGTGCACAAAATCGTGTTTAAAACTACGTTTAATTGAAAAAAGATGAATTTTTAAATTTTTGAATTATTCAGAACATATTTTCTTCTCTTTCAGGAATAAATGCCGGACATACATTCCAAGACAACCATCAGTTATGTACTCGGCATTGTATATTTATTCGCTGCTGCAATATCCCCAACTGTATCTCAAGACTTTTCTTTAGAAACTTGTGGTGCGACAGTACATCATGTGAACGTTGAAAAAGGGGCTGATGTGACCATTGGGGCGATACTACCCATTCACCAGCAGGGTGAGGGTGTTTACGGGTGTGGTAATCCGACACACGATGGTGTCCAAGTGTTTGAGGCCATGAGATGGGCAGTGGATGTCCTCAACAGGAAAAGTGGACTGATCTCTGACTCTGGAGGAAGTGGTGGCGGATCTCTCATTCCTGGTGTTAAAATAGGTAAAACTTGAAATATCATTTTTTCGAATTGAATTTCTAAATTTTTGTATTTACTTTAGTTGAGAAGAAAGAAAAACTGGAGAGCTAGAAGCCTGATGATACTTATCCTTCAGATGCTTGAGTTCGTTCACCTTAAATATCTCCCAAACATACATAGGTCTCTTCAGAATGTTCTTAAGTTCCAAGTTAACTCAGTTAATCAGATGTATCTCTTGCTTCACTACACTTGGTACAAACTGGAAATGTCTGAGGGTTTTTAAATATTCAGCAGGCAGTCGAGTTAAAGCAATTTAATCCCTCCTGTCAGCTTTAAAACTAATTAAGGAACCAGGACTCCCACTAAGATACCATGGATGTGGTGATAGTTATTTCCAAGAGGTGCTTATAAAAGCCTTCTTGATTATAATTTATAGCTAAAGGTACGTCAGAGGTTTCGCGTTAATCGGATTCATGGAAGTGCAATCTTTCGTTAGGTCATCTGAATATTGTTATATTTTAAATCCACATAAATGCATTGTAGATGAAGCACAGAAGAACCATTAATATGATAAGCCACATTTAATACATTATTAACAGAGCCTTTTTTGTGTTTAAAAGTACCACCATTTCCATGTAGACAATATAATATTTCGGTACATTGTTCTGTTTGTGATTGTAATATTTCTGTACATTGCTATTCGAGAAACTAGAAAATTTCATATCTGGAAATAACACTGAGGTACAGTTTGGTTATAATGTCAAATTTGAAAAAATTGTGGCCTTTCATTATATTTCCTCAAGCATTTAAACTTATATTAAAAAAATTATGCTAATAAGGCTGGGAAACGTTTTCCCATACGTAATGGAAGTTAGAAAGCGTATACCACTTTCTTTTTTACTGTTTTACAGAAATTTATATATTGCATGCATAAAGCTATATATGTTGAAATTGTAATTGTTTTTTCTATTAACTTTATCGGTAAAATCACTTTGCAATTTATCCTCCCTGTATGTATCAGTTTTTAATTTCAAAGCCTTCAGGGCTAGATTTTTATTTTATAGGGCGCAGGTTTTAAAAATTACGTGTTTCCCAGTGATCCAGATTTAAGAATACTCAGCGGCACCCTTGTCATAGTACAAAACCTTAATTTTGAAAAAAGAAATCTATAATAATGAAAGAATTGTGTGCGTCTTCCTCTAGATCTTATTACCACTTATGCTAGAGTCTTAAAATTTAGACCAGCAGGTTCAAAACTTGTTGGAGGTTTAGCTTTATTGCGTTGGATCCCAGTACCCAGATCTCAATCTTATTGAACATTTGCGGGATGAATTTAAAAGAAATATCTGCCATCTATATCCACAATCAACCAGAGTCTCCGAATATTGGAATGTGTCACAAAAGACATATGAACATCTAGTCTATTGGAAATAAAGGCCACTAGAAATAAAGGCTTTATTAAAAGAAAAAAAGGTACCCAAACGAGGCATTTAAGAATGGTCATAATGAATTGGCTACTCAATGTACTAATATTGCAGAAATTCCCGTTTTAAACATTTCTTTTTATTTTATTTTCAGGATTGAAGGTCTATGATAGTTGTGGTCATAATGCAATGGCTGTTGAACACTTAACATCTTTATTTCCTGTTCTTCGTTCTGGACCTAAAACATGCGATTCTTTCGCTAAAAATTCATCTCTAACTATTGGTAAGTTGTGCAATTTATTAAGTGTAATTCATTCTAAAATCGTTTTTAATTTGTCGTGTCTTGAATATTTCGATGAAATACAAGGTCATTCTTACTTTATGTACAAAAATTTGAAAACTAATAATGTAAATTACGAACATTTTTGGCATCCATAATTTGCTTAGAATATAGAATATGTTCATTTTGGAAAATTATTTCATTCATTTTGTAGGAAAATATGTATTTTGAAAAATGGAGGATTTTATAAAGTTAATTTAAATATATCACGGAGTTTTTGAAAATTTAGAGAAACATTATTTTCTCTTAGCTTTGATTCAACGCTAGCGTTTCCAGGTGTTAATAAAGTTCGTTATAGTATTTGTCTAATAAATTTCGATGAAATAACTTTCATGAGGCCTCATAAAAAATATGTCAACGTATTTAATGCAAAAAAGTTAACATTGGCTGCAAATATTTACTAGAATCAAACACAAGTAGCCAAAATGTTGTTTTTAATATAATTATTATAATATGGTTTTACATACAATCATTATTATATATTTGACTTCCTAAATAATGGTTAGTAAACTGCTTAACTCATTAAAAACTTAAGTTTTTATCTGTAACACTGACCAAAAAAAGAAAGAAAAAAAAGAAAAAAAATTGCATTGAGAAACTTCCTTTGCATTTCAATTAAATTTAATTAAAATGCATTTAAGTAAATGCATATATTTATTATTTCCTAATTTCATTTGGTACTCAGCAAAAATTTGTGAATCTGTATTTTCCTTGTTGTTTTACCAAGCCATTAATGTTGTAGTTTTTTTAATTTCTATTGGCCATTAAATGTTCTAACAATGTATCTTGTTTTAACATTGTAAATGACTAACTTAGATGAAGCTTTTTCTTAGAAACTGAATCGAATTTAAAAATACTTTTTTGCTTTATATCTTATTAATCTTTTGACATTTAACGTATCTTATTATGCATGTTTTTATTGGAAAACATTTCAAATTTAAATATCAAAAGTTAAATTTTCCAGTTCCAAAACTATTGTTTAAATATTCTCGAATAAGATTCAAAAAAGTTTTTAAGTTTTAAATTGATTCAGTAGTTTTTGAGAAAAGGTAAAACATAGTTGGTTTTCTTGGAATGGATTTCTCTCAGAAATCTCTGATCCTTTATTTCCTGATTAACTAATTAGTAATAATTTCTGTTTACAGGTGTGGTCGATATGAGTGATTCAAGTAATCAACCACAAGTATCAGAATCTTTAAGGGATTACCTCATTCCAAGCATAGAATTGTCTTTGACAACGTTGATTCCACCAGAGAGAATGGCACAAGTAAGTGCGCGTTAACACTTGATGAACAATACACATTCAATTCATGACACTCTATCAAGAAAAGTTGCTATTCTCCTGAAATTAAATTTATAAAACGTTAAAGAAGATATTTGAAAAAACAAACAAACAAACAATATTTTGCCGTCAAAATGTTTCACTATAATTGTAATACTAAAGTAAATATTTAAAAAAATAAGTAAACAAAACCAAATGTTGACCAGTAAGTAATGAAAAATACAGGAATTTATAAGACTCTCACTTAAACTGATTTTTTTCATTAGAAAATTGGAGTCGCTTTTCACTGAAAATTGATATTTTCCACATTAAATTTAACCGATTTCCACTTGAAGAATATTAAAAAAACAATTTATTTGCTTCAAATCATCACAGATGAGTCGCGATGGCTCAGGGGATAGAGCGTTCGCCTTCCAATGAGGTGAACCGGGTTCGAATCCCAGTGAAGGCTGTTCTATACAAATCTGTATTCGCCTTGCACCGACCACAGTACTGACGTGAAATATCCTCAGGGGTAGACGGATCATGGGTTGAGTTCCTTTCAGTGAGGTTAACTGTGGGGGGTTCTCGTGGTCTTCCTCTCCATGTAACGCAAATGCGGGTTATTTCTATCAAAAAATCCTCCACGAAGGCAAATGTCTCTCAATATTTGATCCAGGAGTTCCCTTGTCTTCTGAATTGGATTCAAAATTACAAGGCTACGGAGTTGAACATTAGTAGTCGTAAACCCAAAAATTGGCTCGTCTGTTCAAAGACGGTTATAAAATTATAAAACAAAATAAAATCACCACAGACAAAACAGAATATGAGCTCAGATTATTCACACAAATCAAATTTGCAGCACTAAGTTTTTAAATTATATTTTATATCACACCAACTGACAGCATAAAATTTATATCGAGAATTACCAAAACAAATTTAATATCGCAACATCTATAAATAATTAATTTAAAAAACCAAGTTTTAAATTTAAATTTAATAGTAACAAGTATAAAGCATAAAATTTGCAGTACAGAGTACTCTATTTCTGGTTCAATATACAAAAATGGTGCCCTGTTTAACATAATTAAAAAATTTCCTAATTATAAAAATTATTATGCGTTATAAATTATTACATTATCTAATTATAATACAGTTACTTATATAACAAGCTTTTGGATGCGTTTAAAAATTGTTTTCCATAAAACTTAAATTTTTGCTCAATTTATTCAAATACTGTATTGGAAAAAGTTTGAGAAACCAGAATTAAAAACCAGTAAAAATGATACCAGGATCAGTATAACCATACTGGAAATTAAAATTCCGGTATGAAATCATACCAGAAACTTTAAAGCTTGGTATGACACTATACTAGAAATTTTAAAACCAATATGGACTGCCATACTGGAAATTTCGATACTAGATTTAAAATATACTGGATGATTTGAAACCAGTATAAAATCGTACTGGAAAATTAAATACCACTTTTCAAGTATGCTAGAGATTTTGAAACTAGTTGGCATCCATACTGGAACTTTTGAAGCAGTTTTAAAATATACTAGAGAGCATTTAAGCAGTATTTTTACTCAAATTCTTAATAAGTATGTAGTCTTAGGCAATCAAACAGGTTTTGATGTCTTCAAACTTGCTTTCCTCGTTAGTAATTCATCGCTATTTTATAAAGTTTTTGTTTTTTTCTTCTTGATTATATTTTAATTTTCGATAATTAATTTCTTAGACTTTGATAAGGATTCACAGCATATATATTAAGGACGATGATATCATGCACTTTCAATTAAAAAAATACATACTTGAAATTATTGGAATCATTTTATAATTTTGGAGCAAAGAAAGCTATTGAGTAAGATTTTTACTCATTTTAATTACTTTAAAATCTGCTTAAAGTTAGGCATTTAAGCATATATTCTAACGGTGTATTTTCTCGTAACTTTTATTCTTTATTCACGTAACAGATATCAACACCAATTATGCATACTGTATAAAAATTGCTATTACTCAAAATTCGTACACTTAAAAAATATTAAAAGTATGTCTGATATTTTAGGTCCTTCTCTCCGCCTCTAACGATCTCCATTGGTCCAATATTGTCATCCTGCACGAAGACGAAGAATACAGCATAAGTGTGACGAAGCACCTGACTCAAAGTGCCGCAACCAATAGAGCTATCTGCATAAGCAGCATCTACTCATTGCCGAAAGTGGATAGCAGCTATAAGACAAATAAGCGTGATTTGAGGCCATTTCGAAAAGTGTTTCGAGCAGCAACGTCTGGATTAGCAGAGGGATCGGCCGTGATTGTGATCATGAAAAGAGAGGAAACAGCCACTAGATTTTTGCAGGTGACAACTGTTGATAAAATATTTTTAATTAAGTTACAGGATTTACGTACGGAATTTTGCTGATAATGGACAACTAGTCAAATTTTCTTTTTGTGACGTAGCTAAGGTTACTGTTACCTGATCTTAAATTGATCCTCATTAAAAAAAGGCCTTATCTTTGTTTTGAATATAGGCAAAAACCGGTGAAGCCTATAAAGTTTTATACGGTTAATAATTTTACAAAACTATATAAATTAATATCTCTTATTTTTTCTTGATAGGCAAAAAATCTCGCACTATATACATTTCATTTCAGAGATAATGATGAATATTTAATTTTTTTAACATGCTATATAAGCATTTGCTTTGATGTTCCAAAACTGACATACGATATGAAGAACTGTAAAAAAAAAGAAATGAAAGAATGGTTTGCATCTTTTTGTTTCAGAAACCGAAGATTTTTTCTTATATGCTTCAAAAATAAGTTTAAAATATAAGTTACAAAGATTGTCAACAGATATCACTGTTGACTTGCCAAAAAACCTTAAAGCAGTTTTTTCCTGCACAAGTCCGATTCTGACATTGTCAGATCATCCCAACAAAAATATTTTAATGGGCCTCTGTTAATTTTGTTTTCAGACTGAAGGACTTCGTTACAGCAAGGAGTAATTATTTTAAAAACATTTTGTAGTTTTTTCTGCTAAGAGTCACCTTTGGTGACGAAATTAATTTTCTACTTAAGGAATTTTGAAATTTAGCGAGGATTAATTATCTGGTTTCCTAAAGAACTCAGCAAAACGTACATTTCTATCTTCTTTCATTGTTATTTATATCGTCTGTTATTATTTGGAACACCTGGTTAATAAATTCAGATAAAATTTGCATTTATCTTAATATATATGCTATACTTATTTTTCGATAAATTCTACATATTTTCAAGTAAAATAGGAAAAAACTGCAAAATTTTCCATCATTTCGCTTAGCGAAAAATATGCATACTAATCTGCAGTATGCTTTCCCACTTTTATTTATCAGACTTACATATATAACACTGTTCTATTTCGCTTCATTGCGTATTATTCGTGTTTGGTATAGTGAAGCCAATTCCGCTTCTTATGTCATAGACTTAGTCTTTAAATACTCTGCTAACTTAGAGAAAAAAGAGCTTGCTCTGTCAAAGTTTTTAAAAATTTTCCATGCATTATTTTACAATAATTAAAATTATAACTGGGTCTAAATAGTTCATTGCTAATATTTTTTTTTTGAAATTGTCATTGTCATAAACTGAAAAATGTTAAAAAAATAAACGCGTTTTTTGTTGAATTTCCCAATGTTTAAAGGGGTAAAGAGATGATGGAAATCTGAAACATTTAAAAATAAAAAGGAGTTAATATCCAATACAAAGAAAGTGTTAGTTGGCCAACTTTCAACAAAATCACTTTAACTTCTTTATCAATGTAAAAAATGTGGTGAAGTGTTTGCGTGACAGTATAGTGATAAGTTACACTTATTTTTAAAGGTAGCATTTTTACACCAAACTCTTACTTTGCGAAGAGGTATTTTACAAGTATCCATAATTTCTTCCAGATTACAGAATAATGCACAGAAACATTTTATAGCCTACATGAAAAATGGTTGTGATTTTCACCAAAAATGATTTTTAAAATACACTCTCCTGAGCAATTTAAAAATGTGGCTTATGATTATATTGCCCCAAGCTTATTTATGCAAATACATTATAAGCTGTCAAATATCTATGTATAAATGAAAGACTTTAATACTAACCATCTCAAAATTTCACTTCATTGTCATACTTTCGTCACCTATTTACTTCATCCTTTATAATGTGTTCTCTAATTCAGTCAGAATCGATATCTAATGTTCTATCTCTAATGTTATCTCTAATTGAATCAAAAGATCTTATTGCGTATGACTTTTGTTTCAGGTTTTAGCAGAGTTTCCAGAACTGATCCATGAAATTCAGTGGCTGTTTTCTTGGATACCACCTTCAACGCCCATGACTGCAATCAATCGGCATTTGTCGCCGAACAGCAACGTTTATTCGGTTGCTCCGTATCCCGATAAAATAAAGCAATTCGAGGATTACTGGTCTGGATTGAGGCGGTCCACATCTCTGTCAAACATTGAGGACAAATGGTTTCTTGAATATTTCATGGCCCAAAAAGGTTGCAAGGTACGAACAGACAAATATACGTCTTGGTCTTTACGTCAATGAACACATAAGCTTTGCGAACCGATTTTATTGATATTATGCGGTTTTTGTAATTTATAGTATTAATATGCAAAACTTATGATCGTATTGAGTAAATGCAAACGTTCGAGCTTTACGCGAAATCTAATGAAACACTTAAAAAAATATTAAATAGTTTTTTGTAACTGTCTCTCAACAATGTTTTGTAAGTTTTTGATTTTCTTTTTTTAATGAAAATTTGGTGTTTTTTCTCTCTTTACCTATTAGATTAGTTTTCATTTCTTCCCTATGAATTTTTTGCCTTTTGTATTTTTGAAAATTTAAATAGTCATTGTTGGGTGAACATGAAGAATTTTACCTTTTGACGTTCTAAATTTTTTGACTGGTGACAAGAAGTGATGTGGATCGCTCCTATCACCTGAACACGCATATTAACACCTTATTTATTTTTATTCCATTTATCTAAGCCACAAATTTTAGCGATCACCTTATATGTGAATGTCAAAACTTTAAAGTATTTTAAGATCGAGTTTAAGCAGTATAAACTCAAACCTTGCTGTTCCGTTGCAGATACGAATTCTGTATTTTGCAAGACAGTTTGCTTCTGTATTTTTGTTGCTGTTTAAACACTCTAATATGATTTACTAAATTAACTGATGTTTGTAGTATTGCTAAACACTATTCTATAATTGTTATTTTATAAACACGTTATTATTTTTTACGCGTTATTTTAAATGTATTTGATTACCATATTTTTTTAACAACTACAATAGATTTTTTTTTAAAATTCTTAATATCATGATGCCATAAAGTAAGCTAATTCTGTAATTATTTTGTTTATTTTCAACATTACTGATTAGTTCATTACCATAGCAACAAAATGACTTCAGCCCTCAATGGACCAATATTCACGAATCTTGGCTCAATAAGGGTTCAAAGGGCCGATATTGGTCCTATACAGAATTGTCAGATTCACCTGATATTTTATATTAATTTTCAGCCAATATAGGCTCTATATTGGCCCCATAAAGGCCGATATTGGGCCTATATAGGATCAGTATTATAAAGTTTTGACATCCCAATAATGGTCAACAGGTGCATGTTCATGTAGGACCCATATTGAGCCGATTTTGAGCCAAACTAGAGTCAAAATTAAATTGTTGCTAGAGTAATTTAAACCAACACCGAAATCTAAGAATAGAAATTTAAGAGCCCTTGTGGTTGTTTTTTGTTGATTTTCAATGGTAATAAGGAGGTCGGAAACAGATACACGACCACAAAGGGTTAAATTTGATTTTCGAAACATAACTTTTTCTTATGTGTTACAGTTACAAGGTGCCTTTGATCCTAAATACCGTGGCCTACCGTTTTGTGAGAACAGCAAACTGGAAGAAAGCATGCTGGACGTCTTGCACAGGACTTCGAGAGCAGTGCCCGCTCTCACTTCTGTTTTCACGCTTGCAACTGCCTTTCACAAGGCCTGGGAATCCAAGTGCCACAACAATCCAGGTATCTGTCCAGAGCTGAGAACAATGATGAGGAAGGAGTTTGTATCCCAATATCTGGAACCAGTGGAGTTTTTAGTGGGAGGAGAGAGTGGTGAGTTGGGTGATACTAGAAGAAGAGCTCCAAGACAGAGGCGTGATGCGAAATTGGAAGGAAGCAAACTATCGTTGACTCGATATGTGTCTGACAAGGAGAGGGGTGTTGCTTACCATCAGGTAAATTGAGTTTAAAACAAACTTTATGGTAAAAAATTGGTTAAATTGTAATAGGGGTAAGACAGGATTTTGATTTCTTTAATTTGTTACCAACCAAAATAATACTGTTTAGTTTCATTCACAATATAGACAACGAGACGAAGTCTCAAAAGATGTTTAGAAATATTATTCCGCTTGCCATTGTTAGTTGATATGAGGAGAATATATTAATAAAAGTTGCCATGTGCCATTATTGAAATTACGCATATTATTAAAAATAGAAAAGGAATTTAGAACTATATCATTTAACCGCTTTGGCCTTTTAGAAACTTTGAAAAATGGGACTTTAAAAACATTATCGAACTAAATGAATTGAATCACAATATAAAATTTTAAAAATCTACATCTTATTTTAAGAAATAAAAAAAATTAGTAACAATATAGTAATTTTATATTTTATTTTAATTTATTTATATATATATATAATTTTTCCATTTTTATGTATTTTTATTTATCATTTTATATTACAAATCTTGAGAGCATTGGAATTTTGAGTAAAATTAAGTATATAAAATAGTTTAAAAAAAAATTCACATGACCACTTTTTACGGCAAATGAAAGTGAACGATATCAATGTTTTTCCTCATGGACTATTGTAGCTACAAAACTTGAGTTTTCAGTTTTAACATGAAGGGTATTATGAGCCTAATCATTTTGATTACAATAATTATGAATGATGCGTTGTAATTGCACCTTTAAAGCTAATTCGCGAACATGTGTTCTGTGAGTTTATTTCCGGCGTTGGAAATTTTGGCAACCAGTAAGACGTCGGCCATCTCGAAATACCAGTTATAAATTTGATAACAGTAATCATCATGGTAGTGCCAAATGAAAAAATTAACTCTTTAATATTGCATACCGAAGAATTTCTTTAATATTGAATGCTTACTATTTTTTATTTTATTCTTACGCACCTTCTAAAAATTATACTTCTGAATGTTATTGCAAACCTTTAAGTGTTGGCATATTTTCATACTGTTAAATATTTCATGTTTATAAACTCTCGCACGTTTGAAACATTTTACAATAGTCAAAATCATAAGGATTGAGCTGGTAATTTCCGTATCCTGATCTGTGGCAGAATAATCGCCAACTCTTGGCAACGTTCGGGCAGTGGCCGGCGACAAACGAGAAAAAAAAAATCACAGAAAGGGACAAACTCGAAAGGTATAACTCGTAGCCAACCCCAGGCAAACATTTACATATTTTTTTAAAATTATTTTTTCAAGTTTAAAATCTATTTGGCACTTTGGCGATTGTAGTTGGCGTGACAGATCACGATACGGAAATATCACCAGATTGAGATCATTTCTAGAAGCATCCTGTTATTTTTAATTTATTTCTTTCATTTTTAGCTTATTGTGTATGAGAGTCAAGGATCTCAAGTGCTGGACAAAACATTTGTAAGCAGGCCATCTACTTGTGGACCTGCTGGATGTCGTGGATGTGTAAGGTAAAATATATTTGCTTGCAAAATTGAAAGTGCTGTTATATTTTCTTCTTAAATTTTCCAGATTTAGTGTTGCTTTTAAGTAGTTAAATTCTGACAACTTAGATGAATTTTTTCCAATTTTATGGGTTTTATTTTTATATTCAACTAATATAAAGACTCTGAATTACTGTTAATTACTTTTTCATTTTAAGTTTTGCGCTTTTATAAGTTGTAAATGTAGTAAATAGATACTATGAATTTTAGTTTTGCTCATTTTTTTAATTTTACAACTTAACAAGTTTTGATTTATTTACGAAAAATGGGGAATTACTTTAAATCAAAAATACTATCCATTTTTATATGAAAAAGAACGGAAAGGAAAGTCAATAAAATTTAAAAAAGAAATTACTTTTAATGTTACAAAACTTTAAAAAGATAAAGGAAAAATCTCAAAAATTCTAAATATGGAAGAGGTTTAAAATATTTTGCTGCTAAAGAGAGTATGTGTATGTAAAAATCGAACACATTTTTTGATCTACTTCATTACATTATCGTATTCATAGGCTTAGTATTGTTTTGATTTTGTAATTTTGCTACATCTTCAAACAAAAGTCAGTTGTACTTTTCATTAAATATATGCCATCAATTTTTTAAAATTCCAGACTGCTATTTTTTATTTCAAACCAAACACATCTTTCTTGATTAAAAACAATATTTATTTACTGTTCCAGACCTAGACAATCTCGATTGGAAGACAGTTTGCAAGACTTAGACAGCGCTGAATCAACGCTGTTTGATGTAAGACAGGATGATATCGTAATTCCGATACTTCTTCCGCTCCACCAAGAGGGATTATCACCATTCGAATGCGGATCTATCCTCAATGCAGAAGCCGTGCAGAATTTAGAAGCGGCTTTGTGGACGGTGGATAGAATCAACGAAGACAAAGCTTCTTTGGGAGGTGCCAGGTTGGGATTGAAAGTGATTGATACTTGCTCATCCTCTTTGCTTGCCACTCAAAAAGTTGCAACTTATTTCACTAATTCGCACCTCGATTCGACGGCTGGCCTAGCAGTAGTGTCTGTTGCATCACCCGAAGAAACTCTTGCAGCAGCATCTGTTTTGAAGTAAGTTTTTCGTCTAGTTACAATTACCGAGTGTTTTTTAGGGCCGGGATAGCCTGGTTGGTAGGGCACTGGGCCCATGTCCAAGTGGTCGTGGGTTCGATCCTCGCCGGCCGATGACTCCCCGTCTAGTAATTGGTGACTGATGCGCGTTAAATCTGTCGAGTTTCAAAGTCCTCCATGTTCTCATAACAAATCATACCTCTGGGGGTACTGATCCAGGAGTTTCCTTGCCTTCTGGAGTAGTTCAAAATTACGAGGTTACGGAGTTGAACATTAGTAGTCGTAAACCCAAAATTGGGTTGACTGTTCCACGATGGTTATAAAAGAAAATTTTAAAAATTACCGAGAGTTTAAAAAATGATCGTTTATAAGAAAGATCAATTAAAGAAAAATGGAAGAGAAAAGAAATGTTTATGAATCTGTTTAGGAAATTAGATAAATTTGCTTGGTTACAAAATTAGATATTTATTTTATCACCAGATGGCTTTGCGCGCTAAAAACTACAAATCAATGTTTTTGTGCTACATATCAGACCATTCTGTTTGAAAAATTTAATATAATTAATTAAGGTTGTACAGGTTTGTGTGAAAATTGTCCACACACCACTCTGCGTTACTTCTTCAAAGGGTGGTTATTTTGAGTACATTATCTTAATCTTTTTTTAGTTATCAGTTTTATCTGTTTATAAACTTTCAGCCAAATTTATCCTTCCAGAAAATTGCCTTCACCAGATTTCAAAATTAGATGTTAATTTTATCAATAGATAACATTACTCACTAAAAACTACGAAACAGTGCTTTCTGTTGCATATCAGATGATACTGATTTGAAAATGTAATATAATTTACTAAATTTGTACACCTATCTGTAAAATTTGTCCTCACACTGCTTTTGATTGTTGCTACAAATGGTGCTTGTTTTGTGAACGTTATTTTATTTCCTTTTTTTTAGTTATCAGCGTCATCTGTTGACAAATTTTCCAGCTAATTTTCTTATTTAGTGGGAATAAATATCTAGTTTCATAAAAAGAATGCAGCAACTAATTTTTTAAAAACTTTTTCCATTTTTCTTTGATTTTTTAAATCATTGGTCATTCTTGAGGCATCTGACTTTAATCTGCTGTAAATATATTAGTTTACATAACATTATTTCTGCTCAAAATACCAAACAAAAATAAATTCAGAAATAAAATTAATCTATAAACAGCGAAAAAATATAAATAATTCAATTTTTAAGCTAATTATTGATCATTTCGAAACTATAATCTCGTACCTTGTTTGGTGTTCTGTGTTCCAATTGATGGTGCTTCATTATAGTACTGAAACCGTCGTGAGTTTTTTTATGGGACATTATTTGGGGATTTTTTAACTTTATTATAACATTATTTAAGAGTGAGCACAAAGTTAACCTTTCTTTATCTAGATATTTTTGAAATCAATCCTATTTTATAGGTAATTAAAAATTTTAAAGCAAGACTATTAGATAAAAAATTAGAAACTGACGGAACAGCTAGCGACTGCATCATTTATATCACAAATACTTTAAATTATATATTATCTTTGTACACTTCACAATAGAGGACTTTTTCGAACTTAATCAACTTAAAATTGTAACTGGAAGCTATTTGATTGTAATTAGAGTCTTCAATTATTTTGAAGTCATAAGTACCAGAAAATTTATTTTCAAGAAACTCTTATTATAATTTTTAAAATGAAAATGAAAATTAAAATGCAACTTTCACATTTATCTTTAGCAGTTTTGCGAAGATCATAAAAATTAAACCTCATATGAATTTTTTAATGTTATACAGCAGTAGCATAATAGGTTTTGGGAATAAAACTCGCATTGATAAGGTGCATATGATGAATTCCTTATTTTTTATTGCGCATTACTTAATTTTTCATTTTTGCAATACTTTTTTTGTAAGTGAATACATGTTTTATGAATATATTTTAAAAGTATTCATGTACATTATTTTAACCTTTCTTTTCTTTTGTATTATTATTAGACCTCTTAATATCAGTGTCGTATCGACAATGGACGTGACCTCCCTCTTTGAGATGGAAGGAAAATCAGGACACCATCCGCACCTATTTCAGATCACAGCACCCATTGAATCCCGGATCGAGGCTGCTCTGGGTACTTTTGATTACATAGGATGGAAGTTTGTAACTGTAGTTTACGAAAATACACCCTTGTATTCTTCGGCTTTGCAAACACTATCGAAAGTTGCCAAAGTAAAAGGAGTGTGCGTAGGACAACAACTTGAAATTCCAAGTGAAGTGAGTTATTCCAGTTTGATACCAGTTTTCTACTTTTCTATTAATTTATCAATGTAAACAAAATCTTTGTGATACATAAATAATTTCTTAGTTTTCACTAATAATATTAAGAACTGTGTAAACTGTGGATCTGCATGTTATCTATCCAGATATACAATGATTGTATGTATATTTGATCAGTATCAAAGTCATGGACAATTATATACCGACGGAGTTCTACTTGCTTTCAATGAGCCACCCTGAGCTGCTGAATTCATAATTGTATTTTTCAAGATTTTTGAGCTGTTCGACTTAATGCCACTGTGTATACACTTTATAACAAAAACAAATCGAAGCACCAAGAAGCAATCATCCGATTGTTCTGAAATTTCGTATGCATGAATGTTTTGAACAGATACGGCTGGAATGATGCCGACTGGGGACGTATAGTCTTTAGTGACGAATCCCGCTTCCAACTGTGTCCTGACGATCATCGAAGACGTGTTTGGAGACGCACAGGGCAGAGGGGGGATCCTGCCTTCACTATTGCACGCCACAACGGCCCTCAACAAGGCATTATGGTCTGGGGTGCCATTTCCTTTGACGGCCGGGCCCCTTTGGTCGTCATTAGAGGTACACTTNAGCAGTACTGGAAAATAAGTTTAAATTAGGGATACAAAAATATTTAAAGAAAAACAATACCTTTACGACTATTGTTAATTTTGTGCTGATGACAGCAGTAGCATAATACGTTTTTGGAATAAAACTCTCATTGATAGGCTGCATATGATGAATTCCTTATTTTTTAACGTGCATTACTTAATTTTTTATTTTTGCAATACTTTTTTTGTAAGTGAATAAATGTTCTTTACATATAGTTTAAAACTATTCATGTATCTGATTTAACCTGTCCTTTTCTTGCATTGTTATTAGACCTCTTAATATCAGTGTCGTATCGACAATGGACGTGACATCCCTCTTTGAGATGGAAGGAAAGTCAGGACACCATCCGCACCTATTTCAGATCACAGCACCTATTGAATCCCGGATCGAGGCTGCTCTGGGTACTTTTGATTACATAGGATGGAAGTTTGTAACTGTAGTTTACGAAAATACACCCCTGTATTCTTCGGCTTTACAAACACTATCGAAAGTTGCCAAAGTAAAAGGAGTTTGCGTAGGACAACAACTTGAAATTCCAAGTGAAGTGAGTCATTCCAGTTTGATACTAGTTTTCTACTTTTCTCTTAATTTATCAATGTAAGCAAAATATTAGTGATGCATCAATAATTTCTTAGTTTTCACTAATAGTATCAAGAACTCTGTAAACTGTTGAGCTGCACGCTATCTATCCACATACACAATGATTGTATGTATACTTGACTAGTATCAAAGTCGTGGACAATTATATACCGACAGAGTGCTAGTTGCTCTCAATGAGCCACCTGAGCTGCTGAATTCATAATTGTATTTTGCAAGATTGTTGAGCTGTTCGATCTAATGCCGTTATCGTAAGTATTGCAAACGTATGCAGTGACGTAGTTTTGGGGTGAGTTTGGGGGATAAAATACCCCTAAACATATATATACACACCAAAAGTAGATAATCTCCTCCCAACATACATTAGCAATGAACGCATTATTGGTAATTAACTCAATAATGATCCAATTTTTATTCCTTTAGGCGGGAAATGTTTAAGCTTCTATGGCCCCAGTGGTTAAAACACTAAGCTGTCGTATTAAAGAGCTGGGGTTCGATCCCTGGTGGCGGCTTGAAGCCCACATAGATTCCGATTGATGGCTACCAGCTTGTCTGGGAAATAAAAGAGTGCAGTGCATAATGTTGACCACGCTCACTATCATACCTTTGGTCATGATATTGAATTGTGGAACTTTTAACTCCGTGATCACCTTGTCCATAACGGGCTATTGTAGGAATGCTTTACTTTTTACAATGTGTATCATAATTTGGGTATCATAATTTTTAACACTTTACTGACTTTCATTAATAACTTTCATTAAGGAATCATGTCATTTCATTTTATTAATAAATAAAATATTCTACCGGCTCATTCATAGAAATTCCCTAGTCTAAAAAAGCGGCTGGTTTCTTTGACTAAGCCAATGGTACTTTATTTTTTCAATATTTACTTGACACTTTATTTTTTTAACGTGTAACAGAAAGGTTTTGGGTTCGAATCACGGGTAAGGCATGGATGTTCTTTTCTTCTCTGTATTATCTGTCCTTTCTGTAAAAGCAACGTTGGCCTACTTTATATGGTGCCCCTTAAAGAGTGACCAACAAATCTGTCCTTCAGATATGCCTGTATTGACTAAAGGTCATTCCCCAGGTGGGCACGTGAAAAAAATAACGTCTATGCCTAGATCAGCGTGGCATAGTAAGGATCAATAACATTAACTCATACAGAATTGTAAGTTGAGCACATAAGAATAATTTTCTTTAGATATCCCATTGATAGCAACATTCCTCTCTGTGTAAAATATTTACCTTACTTATTTACTAATACTTCCACAGGATTGGCTTGATTCTGACGTTGATCGTTTGATTCAAACATTGGTTGAGACGAAATCGCAAGGTTCGTCAGTAGTAGTCACCCTAACGAGTCGAAGCTCGACTAGGAAGATTCTATCTGGAATTGGAAGATTCCTGGAAGCCTCTGCTCTTCAACCTGGAGATTTGGTCCTAGTTGGCCTGGGAGAATGGGACGACAGCACACAAATAATCGACGGTTTGGAGAGAATAGCTCTTGGCTCAGTCATCTTTAAACAGGAAAGAGGTATCTCCCCCCTTTTATTATTACTTTTATATGCTTATCATTTGGTTAGAAATTTATGAGTTATAAGTTAGAATTTTTTGTTTTTAATTAGAAAATTATACATGTAAGAAACGTGAGTCGTAAGGTAGACGTTTTTTTTTTAGTTCTATGGAAAAATTATTGGAATTTGAATTTTAGTTATAAAGTAAAAAATATTTGGCTTAAAACTTATAAAATCTAAGGAAAAGTTGTAACAATTATGTTTTTTTTGGTAAGTGGAATAATTCTTAGGATTAGAAGTTAATGAATAACTGAATGCAAAAGAGTTATTTCTTAGTTTAATTCGAGAAGTAGAAGGATTCAGAATGTTCGATTTAGAAAGTGGAAGTGTAACGGATTTCCTAATTGAATCGAGAAGTTATTAAGATTAGAAATTTACGAGTTATAATGTAGAAATGTACTAAGTTATTTTTTAGTTTCATGAAACAATTGTATGGTTTAGGAATTCCTGTGTTATAAAGTTCATCTATCCTAGTCTAATCGTGTTTCCTAGTTTAATTGGTAAACGACTATTAGACTAGAAATTAAAGTATTACAAAATTAAGAAATAATAATTAATAATTACTAAACATTATTTTGGAATTAAATTATGTTTTGATTAATGGGTTCTATGCATGGGTTAGAAAGTTTTTGGTGAAGTCCATTTAGGCTATCTACCTGTGTAGTTACTTTAGTACTGTAATAGGGTATATTGTAGTATTGTAACCTTAAAAAAACACTGTAGGGCAATGGTACTTAAAAAACATCTAAGCACGGTATACCGGGCAGTGGCATTTAATATTAAAAAACATCAGTGTAGGGTATACCAGACAAATGCATACCTGACTGGTTTATTCTACTCGGGTGTTTTTAAGGATAAATATTACTGCTCTGTATACATTGCTACCTTGTGTACCGTAAAGTAACCACAGAGGTATATCACCTATTGGGACAAAACCAAGATCTTGATTCTAGATTTCCAGATTTAATGGATAAATTACCAAAAAGTTTAAATAAGACATTTTTAACTTTTGACTGATTTCTGAAATTAAAACAATGATTGCAGCTACCCCCCCCCCCCNGATCTCATACGTTAGATTTATTAACTTGTTGAAAAAAATGGTATATTTAATTCAGGGAGAGTACGTTTTTGTTTCCGATTTCATAACTTATCTTACGCACTAATTCATTATCATTTAATGATTATCACAGATCATTAAAAATTATATCTTAGTACATGAAAAGTGTATCATTAGGATTGCAAATATTCAGGCTACAGCAATTTTTTGCTACTCCGGGACCTAGTATTTTTCTTTTAGATCTAATTATTAAGTATTATCAAGTAATTTATCAATTTTAACGTTCGGTGAAAATTCTATTATTCTAAATGTCATCAAGTGTTGAACTCCGTATTTCTGTAACTCATGTATGTTTTCTTTCTATAAAATATTTGTAGGAGAAGTGTCTGAATTTGCTGCTCATTACCAACGGTTACTTCCAACGTTTAATCCCCGTAATCCATGGTTTGATGAACTCTGGCATCAACAAGAAGTACATTCTGAAATGACCGCCAAGGCAAATATCAGTGATAAAATGCCTCCAGTCTATTATATATCATCAGAATCTACAACAAATACGATACAGGCTCTTATAGCAGTTGTGGCAGGTATAGCTGACACAAGAAACCAACTTTGCCAGGTACTTGCAATTACTTTGTTTCAAACTTTTTTTAAAATTTTTAAAAAAGAAAACGAATTATTGTTAACTTGAGCTAAGAATTATCTATGGGAACTTCAGTTAAATTTGAATTTGCTTAGAATATTATGCAATGCATCTTATAACTTTAATTTTTGTGCTTATTTCTCAGACTAAAATGTTGGGTAATTATCGCGTTTATAGATTCAGAACGTATATCTTTCAGATTTGTTTCTATTTTAGTAAAAGCATTTATAGTTTGATTCAAAATAAAGGTGTATTTACATACTGATTACAGGATTTCATGTAAATTTCACATGTTTTAAATAAACTTTTTTGTTCATTTAAAATGTACAAAGTGTTTATTTTTATTGAGGAAAATTTGAGTTTCAAAATGAGAGAAACAGATGCCAATAATAGAATAAATTTAACGCAAGTGACAATAACTTTTTAATCAAATTTTCTTACGGTTTAATTTTTTTTCGGACGCAATCTGTGTTTTGAATAATAAAACTGTTTTACGATATATTTTTGAACACTTTAAAATTTATATTTTTTTTAGTTATATGAAAGGCTTAGATCTATTAGTGATGAGTCGAGATTTTTCGAAAGGCGACAGTTTTGCATTAACTTTTGCCCAGACTCTTTTTAAGAGTTTGGAAATTCCACTAGATAAAAGACGGGATGGCTCAGTAGTTAAGGCACTGAATTGTCATTGTGAAGAACTGGGGATCGACTCTCCGTGCTGCTTGAAGCCCACCCAGCATCAGATCATTGGGTACCTACTTGTCTGGGAAGATAAGCAGTGCTGACCACATTGCTAAATCATGCCGTTAGTCTCGAAATTGTAGAGCCTTAACCTTTATGATTTTCCTGGCCCACAACGGTCTGTTGCGATAAGGCTTTACTTTAATAGCACAATATATACACTGCAGGATAATTGCTAAGGACAGATGATACTAGCAACGATAGCAACTACGGAAAGGTAGGAAAATGTGAAAATTAGCATAATTGCGAGATACAATAAGACTTGTTTTGCGTTTGCAAAGTTTGGATTGTCGAATTGGTTTAGCACGTAACAACGCTGATAAGAGATATAAAGGATTTGTCACTTATTTAGCGTTGTTTTTTAAAATAAAGTTTAACGGGTATCAATTGACGATTTTGCAGATGAGCACCTTGTGACCAAAGTCAGGGAGGCGAGCAACATTACCCACGACACATTGCCACAGATACAGGGTGGGCCACACACACAACAACATACGAAGAGAAACATCCATACCCTGAGTGGGATTCAAACCCGCACCATTGGCTTTGAAGATCAGGCACGTGAACTGCTCGGCCTGCCTAACTGGGACTATGACTGGCCAACGCTATATTAAAGATATTTTGGGCCTCATGTTCACTTGTTCCGTGTTGCTGCTGGGGATAAATTTGTTTTATGGACGACAAAGCGTAACAGGTTATCGAACAGTCACTGCCAAGAAGTGTGTACAGGGCAATGATATCCAACGCCTCGTATGGCCAGTACTGAGGCTTATTGAAAATATGTGGGATGCTTTGGGGAGGTGTGTTGCAAATTAAGAATGCAGGGTAATGAACAAGGACACCCTCATCCGTGCATTGACAGAGGAATGGAACAAATTGCTCCAACAACTGTTGAATACCGTTGTGCAAAGCTTTCCACGACGTCAAGAAACTTGCATCGCCCTCCATGGTGGCCACACCCATATTGACATCTTTCTCCAGGAGACTTACAATTTGCATTTTTTTCATTTTCGCGTTTTCATCACAAAACTACTTTTTTAATTCTTGAACACATTTCAAACCTTCTGGGTAACAGGAATTGGTTTATTTTTGAACTTAAAAATTCTTATAGCAAAATACTCGTTGTTTTCTGAATATGGAGAACTCTATATTCTATATAAAGATCTCTGATTTCGATAATACTCATTCATGAATAAAAATTCCCCCCCAAAAAAATTCGTTTCAGAAATAAAATCTTTTTAAGATGGTCCACGAAAATGTAGTCACCCCTTTGGTTGCTAATTACCCCCCTTTTGTTCTATTTAGATTGAATTTGGAGTATGTTCTGAAATGATCAGACATCCACATCTTTTACGCTTAGTTGGAGAACATATCGCTACGAGTAAGTCACCTCGCCTAGATCATCCGGGACAGGCATTTCAATTTAATGAGAGGAGATTTGGTGCCACTCCCATAGAAGTATACAACTACAGAAAGGTTACAGGAGGAGATATAAACTACCTTAAGGTAAGAATACTTACATCAATAACATGATAATCTTATTTTAAATCAAAACTGCATTCGCATAAAAGTTAGTTCAAGTTTAAATTATAATATCCGTTACTACAAAAGCTCGAAAACCGTTAATGTGTGCATTACCTAGTTTATCTGCAGATCAGCGTTCAAAATCGAGTGTTTTCTACGCACTGTGCGCATTAACGGCTTCAAAAAGTTTATCTCTTGTATTCTTATTTGTTAATTATCTGATCTTATTTTATACTAATTTGTTGAATGTTTTCTCTTGATTATTTAAATGTTAATTTCATTAATCTATAATTACAAAATGATAAATAAATGATACGTTAATTTCATTAATCTATAATTACAAAATGAAGAGTTTGCTTGTGTTTGTGTCAGTTTTAGAACTTAACCGTTTGTTCTATCGTCCTGAAATTTGGACAGCGGTCACAAGGGACAATTTTAGCCCCCGATGCCAAAATTCTTTAGAAACTTTCAATTATGTCATTCAGAAAAGCTGCTTGAAAATGGAATTTTCTCATTGGTTGGCAGTTTAGCCATTGTTTTAAATTAAACTACAGATCCTAAACTTTATCCAAATATTTTATGCACAATATCTTTGCTAGTTTATAGCTCTATTTAATAAAAAAAGAAGTTTATTGCAGACACTTTAATATTTAATTATTTTTTTATTCACTATCTCAGAGAAACACAATGATCGATATCAACGTCGTAGCATGAGCAGATTATATCACCTAAGTTGTATTCCTAAAGTTATCTGAAACCACGAGTTTATTTTTTTACAGTAATTTTTTACAGTATTTTTTTATAGTAACTATGAACAAATGTTTTAGGTTGGCTCTTTCGAAGGACAATATACGAAACTAGCTGACATGATGGCTTATACCCCTAGCGGTGAAGTACCCATGGAATCCATTCTATCCACTTGCATCAAAGACTGTTATCGTTGCCAACAAGCATCTCCAAACTATCTTACGATTCCATCCACTCAAGGAATCTACATTGCTGTTGCTCAAGGTATCCACGAATCAACGTCTAATCCCTTAACTTGTGGTCCAATCAGAGTCAACCGAGGATTTCAAAATTTCCAGGCACTTCAGTGGGCATTGAAAATCATTAACTCGGATCCCACCATTCTGCCGGGCATTGATCTGGGACTTGTCGTGTTTGACACTTGCAATAGCAGAGAGAAGGCTGCCATGGATGTTTCGAATTTCTTAACAGGAACAATAGCTGAGAAACAGCAATTACCTGCACCAGATGACGTTGTGGGTTTCTTGGTAGATGATGCGGGAGACATCGTGCATCCACTGGCAGATTTGACCCAACCATTGCAAATGACTACTGTTGCATCGACAGCAATCGCTCCAGAATTTGGGGACGTAAAGAAGTATCACCATCTTTTGAAAATGAAGATGCCTAGTGATGTTATAATTTCATCTATGGTTTATATCTTAAGGTATGAAAAGAAACTTTTTGTATTATTTAATTCAAACTACTATATGCTCAAACGTAAATCAATAGCTTTATATATTTTTCCGTGTTTTTTTTATTTTTTTTTTTTATTTTACTTATAAAGTTATGTTAAATTTCTGCTTAACGTTATGAAATGTTTGTTTAAAAAGCGAATTATTTAAAAGAGGTAATCACATGTGCGTTATGAATGGCAAAGCTTTTAAGCTTACATTTATTTTGTATGTCTATAGAATATGTATATCTGTAGTTTATTTTTGTTGTCGTCATTTTAATTGCCAGTCTATTGAAAATTTATAAACTATAAATAAGATTGCTCATAGAAACCATTTGGAATGCGTTTCATCTATAAAAAAATAGTGTAAATGTGTTGCCATTAACAACCACAATATTGTAGCAATTAATTGCCTCCATCATGGTAGTCAAGTGATTTGCTTCAATTTCTGTCACAGTCTGAGGAGAAAGAACACTGACAACTATTAAAATCATTTAATATCATGCAATTGTTACTACCAAAAATTTATCTGATATAGCGAGTGAATAAAAGAAGAGATTACTGAGGATAGAAAATTAGCGAGTCAGTCATACGTTTAAATGAGTGATTTTGAGAATCAGTTTATAATAAAGTCAGTTATATAATAATCAGTTTATAATATCAGTTTAAATAAAACTAAACCCATCCTTTTGGAAATGGCTTCATTCCATTTTTTTTAATTTTTAAATTTTTTTATCTTAAATTAAATAATCGAATTACTCAAAAAAACATTTTGACTTGGAATTTTTAATACCAAATATAATTCAAGAAAATGGCTATAACATTTTTTTTCTAAACTATGTAGAGAAAAATTGCCGATTCTTGCTATAAATATCTCACTTGATTATTTTTTTGCATTTGGCATTGCTGATTTTCTTTTGTATTTGATATAGTTGATTAAAACCTTGCATTTTAACCTTGCATTTAAAACATTAACCTTGCATTGATTAAAACCTTGCATTTAAAACCTTGAGTTAATAACCAATTCAGACATACTTTTCTAATTTGAAAGCTTCTATCTCTCTTTGCCTGTTAGAAAAACATTTAAATACGTAAATTGAATCAGAAATTTAAGAAAAAGAACACACTTGGAACAAATCACGTTAAATGCAGTTCGTCACTTTCTGAGACATCCGAGTCAAAAACATTCTTTTGATTTTAGCATTAACGCAAAAAATTTTGTCACGTGACCTACGTTTTTTTTTAAAGTTTTTTTTTTAAACTAAGGAAAATAGAAAAGCTACAGTTCATTTACCGGTCTAAAACACAAGGTAAAACTACAATTTTAAACTATATATACTAATTTGCTGTGAGGAATTTTTTGGATAGAGATGTTACAGAGAGAGGTCAAGAGAGTCAAACAGAGATCTCCAAGCAAGAGGCTGTTTCACAGAGTGGAATAAGTCAATCAAATGTCGTTTGTACCATTTCTATTGAAAGATTAATATTTTTATTCCCATTGATATTTCGCACCATTTTCATAAATCGCATTGGATAAAAAGAGGTAAATCATAACTTAACATTCATGAATAGCTGCAATAAACTCAAATTATTCGCTAAAAAGTGTCTTTTTATAAAATTAAATAAAAACTAAGTTTAAAATGGCAAATATTAACATTTATAAGAAACTGAAACTTGTAACGGTGTCACATAGGTTCACCTTCATCAATGGAACAAATGGCAGGATTAATGGCAGGCAAATGACGTAATTTGACAAATATCTTATTTTAACTTTGTTCAACAAAAAAAAAATACCCTCTTCGTTTGACAATAATGAGTTCGATTTTGTTTCTAGACACTATCATTGGAAGTTTGTTTCTGTTGTTTACAATAAGGGAAATGAAGACACTCTGTTTGGACTTGCCGGTGTAACGGAATTCAAGCGCCAAATTGAGGAGCATGGCATTGAATTAGCCCTTGAAGAAAGTATTGGAACTGAAGAGGAAAGTGTTGCTTCCACTATGGATATTATTGCACATAGACTAAAAATAAAACAAAATGCTGGTGCAAAGTAAGTTTTTAAAATTTCATTATGATCTTACCTTGTTTCTAATGTTATTTTTTTAGTAGTCAATGATAATTATTTTTATCAATTTACTATTAATTCAAAGTCATGTTTAAAATATTTAAACATGAAATGATTATAAAATGAGTTTTTACGTAAATTAATATCAATTAATATGAGACGCTCTGTATTTATTAAAGTTTTTATCTGCTTTAGATTTACGTGAATGCAAATTTTGAGTACCTTTAAACACAAAAAGCGAAAGTTTTTACTAAAATTTATTCAGAAATGAACTGTGTCCTTTAATAAAAAAAAAGCCGTACATAAATTTATGCATACATTTATAATTTATAATTTAAGTTATTTTAAAATTAATAGTACAATTTAAATATACTCTTATCTTTATTTTATTAGTATGGTTAATTTGAATTGTAGAGTGTTGGGTCTTTCACGGGGTATATTTTAGGAAGCATGAATTATCAATAAACACCATCTAATTTTTAAAACTAAACTATTTTTTCATGTGAAAGTCACGATGCATGAAAATCTGTACTATAAATGTTTTCAAGGACATAAAGTGTTTTTCCTATCATCAAAATTATTTTGGGGACATTTCAACCTACAAGATATTAAATAAGATTTTGTTTAAAAGTACAAGATATTAACTAAGAAGATGTTAAATATTTCATCGATTGTCAATTTCTTTGTCAGGTTTACAATAAAAGATGATATGCATCAAGACATTTATCGGTTGGGTAATTTGAGTAAAACTTAATAATAATAGTTACCATCACCAAGTTACCATCGACTGAAGGAGGTATTTAAAGCTGAAATAGGGAAATATTTTTTACAGTGTAACTATTTTAATAAATATGGGTATAGTATTGGTGCAACTTAATGAACATATTTTTTAGCTCTATAGAAAATTGATATTTATATTATTTCCATAGAATAATATAAAAATTCCTATGAATCATTTCGAAAATTGAAAGCAAAAATAGCCCGTAATTTTCGGTTTCTGAATCTTAACATTATTTATACACTGTTAAAGATTTTGGGTTACTTTCAATCACAATATCGTGAAAATTTGCTATAATTTTGAAACTGTGCCAACTTACCGTATTATCGCTTAAATTAAATAATATTCAAATTGATTACATGATATCAGGGTTCAATTTTAATGGATACATGGCTCAACTTAATAATATTATTTTGATTGCAAAAAATTTACTGGATATTGTAGTCCAATATATGTATATTATTGTTCAACTTAGCACCGATTTTTCTGAGAGCTTTAAGTTACACATTTCAGTAATAAAAATAGTTATGGAATTATTTTATTTTTAGGGTGGTTATTCTGTTTTTGCCTCCCACTTTGATAAGCGCCCTAATGAGCGCTGTAAAGAGACTTCAGCATGTTGGTAGATCCAGCATGGGTGATTTTGTATGGGTGGCCTATGACAGCCTGGAGCCTTTCCAAATGTTCCCAGATCAGTCCGTGGGGGCCGTTGTCGTGAGACCTCCATCTGAAGAAATACCTGTCTTCAAAGATTACTTCACCTCGTTAAATATAAAAGAAAGTGGCCAAGATCATTGGTTAAAAGAATATTGGGAACAGGTATGGTATATTCTAAGAATAAAGGATATCTTCATGCTAACCAATCTCCACGATCCTGTTCAAAATGACGGGTTGGAAAAAATTGCATCAAAAGCGCACAGGAATTACTTTTGACAAAAATAATATCTGAGTATAGTTTTTTAAAAACATTTTATTAGTTACAGCCATTAATAAATATAAAGTTCTTGTATTTAACTTATCTATAGCAAATCTAACTAAACTTTCAGTTAATTATGTAGTTTTCGTTTATTTCTTTACTTATTTTTTTTAAGTCTGTGAGAGTTATGTTATTTTCGAATACGTCAATATGGATTTAAGTTTTTGATGTATAAAATTTAGTAAGGGTCCATAAAAAACCAGTGAATCAAAAAGCTTTAACGAATTTTAACATTATAAATATTTGCCACCCTATTATTTAAAAGTTTAGTTTAATAAAAATCCGATACAAAAATATCAGTTTTTTTTACCAATAATCTATAGTATCGGCATCATTTTAAAGCTGTAAAAGTTGGTACTAATCCATATTTAATAATTAGTCATTGTGTTCAAAGCACTAAATTTCAAAATAATCAAAATTATTATTTTGCAGAAAAGTAAATGGTTTGTTTCGCCAACTTTCGAAGCCTAACAGTTACTGACATTAGAGTAATTTCGAGGTTCATAATTTCAACGAACTTAAAAGTAGTTTCGAAGATTATAATTTCACATTATCAGCATACAAGCTCTTAAATCATGCCTTCGATTTACTTATTTTCTGCCCATGCATTTGATACTTTCTGTTATTGGTCATAATGACAATGATTGCATTCAATAATTTAGATTTTAAATTTCCACTTTTCAACCTAGCCATTAAGTTCCACATTATCATTTAGGTGTTTAGCTGCAGAGGTGGCGCTTGTTCGACCAATCAACACCGAACATTACACCAAGTTGGATTTATACAAGACAAGACTGTCGCCAACACTGTCAATGCACTCTTCACTTTGGCACTGGGTTTGGATGGTGTCCAGAGAGAGTTGTGTCCAATAAAGAATAACTGGTGTTCCATGATGAAAAACAAACTGTTGGTAAGGCATAAGCTTTTCAGCCATGCTAGAAAAGTTCGATTCAATGGACTTGATGGAGTGCCTGTAGTATTTGGTGCAAAAAATTATGTGAAAGGTGAACTGGGAATCTACAACTTCAAAGACGTTGGCGACGTCCGAGCATTCATGAATGTGAGTACATGATTTATTTTACAGTGTTTTTCACGTAGTTTGATTTTGGAGATCAGACACTAAAAGATATCTTTTTGTATTCAATTTAACGCTTATTTTTTACAATTAAAAATGTGAATCATTTTTGACATTAATCATAAATGATTCGTATTTCTTAGCTCTTAGCACTCTTTGTCCTTGTTTCGATCCTCGGGCTGGGGAAGGTTGACTCAACCCTTTATCCCTTCTGTGGGTTGATAAAATGAGTGTAGTTCGTCTAAAATAAGAACTCCAGATATTCATCTGGACCTATGGCTGTCACCACCACAGGTGCGTTGCCACAGGTATGGTAACGAGGTATGACTATTTCAAGTAGGGGTGCGGGGTCACTGTTTTGGAGTGGCTTCGGTTCGGGTCGGCGTGAGAAAGGGAATCTTTTTCTTCGGTCTATTGTGTTAGTCCTAGAGTGAAGCTACCCTCCCTAAAATGCGCCATTCTTTTTTACATAGCACCAGACGACTTCAGACTTTGTGGCGGCAGGTGTTCTTAGCTTAAACAGACTTACCAAGCATGCTTGGGGACGAAACATTGAGAGTTTCGCGTTCGGCTAACAATAAAATCGGGACATCTTCTCTTGCACCCCAGAGCCCAAGGTCAAGAAAACTGAGATGGGCACATTAGGCCCCTTGGCCCTCTATGGGCTGTCACAATGCTGAGCTTAGTTCAAATTCATATTTCCACAGGCATTTGGGTAAAAAGTTCTCAGGAATTTATGATAGTATGAAAAGTTTATTTTCAAATTTTTTTAAAAATATTTATAAGAATATAACTATTTTTTAATTGCTCAAAAAATTACGATTCCAGATAAAAAAAAAGCATCATGTTTGACTCATGAATTTATAAATGCTTATAAATGTTTTTCTTAAAATTGAGATCGAATTTTTATAGTGAATTATCAGTCCTTTATCAAATTAAAATACCTTTAAAAGTTTTGCTTGTCTCATAAAATACTTGCCAACCAAGTAGTTCACAATCCAAACTTCTTCTATATATATTAACAGGGCTACCAACTTCAAACGCTTTTTGTAAAAATTTATTTTAGTGGTTGTAATGTATTTGTTTTAATGTATTATTTTTTATTCATTTAAACTTATTTTCCACCCCACAACATACAAATGATTTAAAAGTTCATATGCACTTTGTTTCAGATCTTTCGTGGTGAGGTTTTTAACATTTTAAAAATTTTGGCAAAATTACCAAAAATTCTGATTGCTTTGATTTTTAAATGTCTACCACTCTTAATGAATCCATGGTTTCAGATAGCTTTCAATATACTAATTCGGTGACGTTGATCCTATACGTTAATCCTTGGTTTTACTAGTGCTTACCTAACAAAGATTCATAATTATAAAAGAACTCATAATAAACTCTCAGTGAAACTTGCTTTTCCTCAAATAGGACTATAACCGTGCAAACATTGGTGCTATTTTTAAATAATTGAAAATAAAAAAATGCCTGCAATGTAAATTTCAACAGTTTTATCTGTTAATCTATTACTGCTAATCCTTTGCGAGAAACTAGTTTCATCACACGTCTCAAATGAATGGATTAGTTAAAATTCAATGAATTTTTAGGATTTGAGGCTAAAGTTGTCTTTAACACTTGCTGTCTAAATTTTAGGAACCTGGCAAGAACGATTCATAAATTATAAGTGAGATTATTATAACTTATTTATTAAGTTTTAAGAAGATTTCTTATATATTTATAATAAAAAGACGCATTATCTTATTATTAAATACATATATATGAAATCTTATTGGAGGGTTTATTACCTCAATTAGATTCAATAAATACTGATAAAAAATCGTTCCGAGTAATATAATCAGATTCATAGTAAATGACCTTTAGTTAACAAAATGTCGTTTGACTATCTTTTGTGTCAAATGTGGGAGTTTTAAAGAACAGTTTAATTATCTCTTCATAGGTTATTTTTTTTAAAGGAAAGCACAGGACGCACTACCACAGGGAATGCCCTAGTGATCTTTTTTTCTGCTTTTTTTTGCCTCACGCCTATCTTATGACACCGTTTAATCAGTTTACTAGGTTACGTTATGCCGTAAGGGCTTAGCGACAGTTTTGTAGATTTGAGCTCTTGTGACATCAAAATCTACACTTAATTTAAATTATCTTATCTAGATTTCTCAATACCGTCTAAGTTATAGAGCAATATAAATGATTCTGGCACAGTTTTTATTAAACTTCACGATCAACTCCATAGTTCAATCAGAAAATATTTTATTCATAAAAGTTTATTTTTTGAAGAAACAAAATTCGTTATAAAGTAAGAAAGAGGAAAATTTTAATCTTCAAACAATGAATATAATTCCGCTATTGGTTCTTCATTATTCTCTGATGACCCAATATCTCAGTTGCATTCCAGTACTGATCATGCATCAGTATTCGGGGAGCTTTGACCTATTTTACATTGATAAAAATAGTATTTTGGGGGGCGCAGTTCATAAACTTTAAAAATAAATACAAAATTCCATTGTTAAATTTTTAAATATTCTCTTTTTTTTCTTCAATAGATTGGTCTCTTCCATGAAGATCATGGGCTAGCCATCAATACATCAATGACCAGCGGCTACAACGAAAAGGGTGACCTGGTGCCACTCTCAGAAATTCAATCATTCTGCAATGACAGTGAAATCTGCTCCAAGAAGCAGGATGCAGCAGCGCTGATGTCCATGCCTTTCATGAAGATCCCAGCAAATCAAGAATTCGTGATCGGTGTCATGTTACCGATTCATCAACCAGGAGACAATTTCTTCACTTGCAGCCGTGCTGTGGAAGAGACCTCTTTTCAGAATCTTATGGCACTAAGCTACGCCCTCAATAAAATCAATGCCAACGAAACTATTCTTCCGCAAATACAACTAGGTAAATAAATTTTATAATTTAAAGATTTGGAGAGTCGATTTTTGTAGCTCGGTTATTTGGAAACTTTTTCAACGAGCATATTTGAGAATATTTTCCTAACAGTATAAGTTGTAACTCCATAAGTTTTTCCGTAATGACCATCCTCGATGTCTGGACAGATCAAAAGAGGCATTAAAATCCTCCAAAAACCAGTGAATTTCATATGTAACTCATTGGCTTATAATTATACGTTTTTTTAAATAGAAACAGCTTGTTGACGTTGCACGATTTCTTAGCTCTTCCACACTCCTTCGTAACCACGATAAAAGCAAATCATGATAAATCCAAATTTCGAGGTCACAAGGAAAGGTCTGTAACTTGAATTGAACTTGTTTCCATGTTGTTGTTGTTAATTCCCATGTGGTCTGAATCCATCAGACCAGATCAATAAACCCGTTGACATATAGGAAGTCCGAAACTAAACGAGGAAAGGAATGAATATGGTTCCAGTCCTGCCCTAAACAGTTGAAGATATTCTCAAGTGATGCCTGGTTTTGTTGGCATTTAGGGCAAATAGGAAAGATCTTTTGATTAGCAGAAAATGTAAGACTTTTCAGGTGTCCACTGACCAGTCCGGATAAGCAAGTGTTGGTCTGCCTGTCACCAGGAAGAGATAGAGAGAGTCCTGGTCTTTTTGCTTTATACCAGTAGTGCATAGGAGGAAGCAGCCACCTTTGTTTGTTCTGGGCCTTTTTCCTTGCGGAAAGTTCAAGGTATGTAAGCTCTGAGGTGGAGGGGACTGGATGGTCTAGTCCCTTTGCAAGAGTGTCAGCCAACTCGTTTCCATGGATATCGACGTAGGCCAGGATCCATTGATCCATTTGTTTCCATAGATTCCATGTTATATTTATAATTTAAAAATCATTTTGCTGTGCTTCGCAATTAAATTACAAAACACTGTAAAAGAGAATCAAAGCTAAAACTAATAATTTTTACCACAGTTTTAAAATCTGTCTTTTTGAAAAAAATAATACAATTTTCTTTACTTTTTTTCAGGTGCTCTTGTATTTGACCACTGTGGGCGCAGACAAAAAGCCGAAGAGCAAATTTTCAGCTTCATAGCCAGCGATGGCTCTCTTCCGTACAGTGAAGCTAATCTGAAGTCAAGAGCAATGATAGCTGCTGTTACATATGATCCTCAAGTAGCTGATGACTTGTCTCCACTGTTTGAGTCAGCTCTCATTCCACAAATCTCCACTCCTGCAGCGACACTGACAGATTCTCCCGAATGGCAAAGACGAAGAAATCCCCGATCTGCAAGCGACTCCAATCTCAACCCCGAAGTCCGTGTCCTCGTGGATGTTCTCAAAAAGTAATAAAATTCATCGGTGTGCAAAATTTTGAGGATTGATTCATAATTTTTTTTATTATCGCCATCTTTAAACAGCCAGTTTATATTTGATTTGTGGATACATTAACATTTGAGCTTAACGCAGACTGGATCATGTATTGCGACAAATTCGAATTCATATAGGACTTTTTTAATGAAAACTAACCCACATTTGTGTTATATTAAGAGAGATACCCAAAAAACCTCGCATGTTAAGCCCGCTGGCTAATGATTCCTCTTCTACTGAGGTTTTTTTGTCAGCTCTATCCAAGAGCAATATATCTTTGCTTTCCTTGCTATAAAATATCTTTGCTTTCATAAAATATACATTTAAATCAAAATACTCAGGTTTACATCCGCAACATTTAAAAAAAATTAAAAGAACTTTTCATTTGGCAATGTTCCATGTAAAAAAACTAACAATTACTAAAAGCTGGAAATCATTTTAAGTCTTTGTTTAGGCTCGATTTGGATATTTTAGGATCAATGTGTATTATTTCCAACCACTCTAAAGTGTGCATGTATTTAAAAAGTGTTTTTTAGCTTATTAGTTTGCAAAGTTTAAATGATATTAACAGTTTATAAGGTTTAGTTTGAGTTAATAAATAACAGTGAGTTCGTCAATTAATGTAGAAGCTATTTTTAAAATGATGATTTTGTTCTTAGATTTAACTGGAGGTTTGTGTCGCTCATTCACTCCGACTCTGAATCGGATCGAAACATTTTCTGGAATTTCATTCAAGTGTCAAAAGAGAAGAAGATCTGCATTTCAGAAGGTCTCGTTATAAAACCAGATATGGACATTGTGGATATCGCTGCTCTCCTTCTACAGGAGCTGGACACTCGGCAGGAATCGAAGGTGATTGTTTTGTTGCTGGAGGAGCACCAGCTGGTCCAGAAGGTTTTGGAAGCTGCCAAAAGAACAGATCTTGTGGAACACTTTGTGTGGATTGGTATGGAATCACAGAAAGATGGCCGAAGTGTTGCCAGAATACTGCAAGGTATAAACTTTTTAAAATCAATTAATATTCTCTAGATCTGCTTCAAAATATAAAAAATCTTACAGATCAGCTCCAAAATTTCGAAACTCTGCAGATTGTTCTCAAATACCAAAATTCTGTACATTAGTCATATATATTCTATAGATTAGTCAAAATATCAAGATTTTGTTAATTAGCTTCAAAATATCGAAACTCTGTTAGTTAGATTCAAAATATCAAACTCTATGGATTAGTTTAAATATGAAAAATAAAATATGTAAATTAGCTTCAGAATTTCAAAAATTTGTAAATTAACTAAAAAAAACTCGAAAATTAGCTTTAAAATATCAAAATTCTTCAAAATAAAGAAATTCCTCAAATTAATTTTAAAATATCAAACTTGGCATCTATTTTTAACTATAGCTAATATGCTTGTTCTTATTGTAGGATTAATACAAGTTTATAGTACTAATATAAAGACGCTTTTTTATTTTTATATTATTGTTCTTGCGTTTTGAAATTGTGGAAAATAAATTTTGCAAAATAAAATTTTAAAAATAAAAACTACATATAGCAGTTGTTTTTTTAAAACCGTAAACAATTACGTTGAATACGTATTAAAAAAATCCAAAATGTAAAATTTCGAAAAAATATGGGTTGAGCCGATTTTAAAACCAAACATCTTGTATTAGAATTCCTATAACAAAATAATCTTTCTGTTTCCTTTTTTTATGCAGGTATCGATATCGATTATATTCTCATTCGTCCAGAAACATATGAAGTACCTGGCTTTCTAGAATACTATACCACTTTCAGTCTGAACAAGCACGAATCCATACCAGATTTATGGTTCGAAGAGTTCTGGCAGCACCATTTTAGATGCCATCTTCCACAAAGCATATCCTCGTTGGAGAAACTGTTCCCCCTGCCATGCACAGGTACAGAGAGCTTGTCACAGAAACCACTCAATCTGGACACATTCGTCTACCATACTGTTGTAGCCGTTACTGGTGTAGCTGAATCGCTACACGACTATTTGAGGAGGTACTGCGTCCACGGGGACGCTGCTACCAACCTAGACGATTGTGGAGCGGACGCGCGGCAGATTTTGTGGCGAGAAATGAGGAAGTTCATGAAAGGCCCTCCTCTAAACTGTGCAGATGGTGATTGCGGACCCCTGAAAATGTCCATGGGATATCAGATATTTCAGTTACGGAAAGCCAAAATTCATCACGTATATCAACAGGTTAGTTTTCAATAATTTTGTTACTTCGTTAAAGTTTTTATATAGGGTAAACTAACCAGTGAAGGAACACTTAAACTTCGCTTGCCTTTTAAAAATCATATCAATTTCAAAATTCGTAATTTTAGTTAAATGACAGTGTCAACATATTTGTTACTAATTGCAAATTATGTAAAATTTTTTTAGAGAACTTACGTAATATTGTTTTAAAGTTTTGGAGGTTCAAATAACAAGTAGCAAGAAGACAAAGTGAAGGAACAGCTCTTACCAGTGAATGAACACCCAGTAAAGGAACACTTAATTTTGGTTATTTTTTTAATGCTCTTTATGAATTTATAAGCTGTACAAATATTTAAAAACAAGCCTATTCTTGAGATAATAACATATAAATACTTGGAAATTGTTAACTTTTTTTTGTAATGATGAATTGAAAATTAAAGTGTCAACATATTAACACATACTGTTCATTCACTGGGAAATCTATGTCCAGTAAAGGAACATGCCTGTTTCCTCACTGGTTGGAAGTTGTTTTTCGTATTTTTAACATACTTTTGATGCGGAACATCACTAAAGGTACAAGAAAATTAAAGTTTATCTTTTATTTTCATTAACTTAGAAAAAAAACCCAGTAAAAGACCACTTGTTCCTTCACTGGTTTTTCATCGTTTGGTAAACCAGTGAATAAACACCCCCCTTATCTCTGTACTTTATTATACTATGATCCTTAAAAAAATAAAACGTAACTTCAATAACTATATTTTAAGTTCTCTTTTTCACAGTGAGAAAAATAAAACTATTATATGCAATTAATTCCATTTCAAACATATAAATACAAACACACACCTTATAATTTTTTCAAAGAAACAAGGTGTTGCAGAGATAATAACAAGTTTAAAAATTTTACCAGAGAAGTCTATTTGACCAGGTAATCCAAAACATTACTAGATGACTTCCTATTGTTTGGCAGTAAGCTATTGTTACCAATCAATCTAAAGAAAAAGTTTCAAATTCTTATTTTTAATCAATATATATAAAATGTTCCTTCACTGGGTGGTGCTCCTTCACTGGTTGGCTTACCCTATAATAGAAAATTATAAAATTTATTTACATAAAAATGGATTATATCAACTAATGGATTACACCTCAAATTTGCTGTTACTGAACCTTCTATTACTGTGAAATACTTAATGATACTTGGTGGTAGACAATGTTATTAGCACATGTTCCCTTATGTAAAGATTTTAATTAATGTTCGTAGATTGGCTTGTGGAAAGATGAGGAGCTTGCACTCAAGTTAGAAGATGTGGAGTTCATAGGGGGAGTTAAAGTGGATTCCACTTGCAAGAGAGATTGTGATAAGTGTTTGGAGCAGCTGGTTATAGATCCGGAAGAATTGAATCAGACAAAACCATCCCTCTATGCCAATTTTAGAACCTTATGGGGAGTTATCGTCACTGCCGTCTCGCTACTCGGTGTTCTACTCGTTATTATATGTGCCGCCTATTTCCTCATCTCATTTCAGGTATAGTAATATTTTAAATGTTTTTTTTCTTCAGTTTCCGAACCTGTTAAGTGTTACAGAAACACTTCAACGTTTTAAAATTGCAACTTCCCACTATTAACAGAAAATTAATAGAATTAATACAGTGTAACCCCTAGAGAGCGCTTCCCCAGGTGGCGGATAGGGGAATGCCTTCACTGGTTTTCCAGTGGGTGGTAGAAGGGAAATAAAATACTTTCAGCGGACCAACAGGTAGAAGTCCAACCTTTCGAGGCTCTGGCAACCCTCCTTTTCCACGGACAGTGCAATTTTGATCTCTAATTACAAGACTAAGAACAAACCACTTTAAAGGGATGAAAATTCTTCCTGACAAAATAAGAACATATATTCCCTGCAAGAACTGCACCAATATCCAACTTACCCCGGATCACATTCTCGATTGCCCAACCCTTACCCCATATATTTTACAACTGGGTATGATGCCACTGGCTTCAGAACTTGGTGAGATCCTCTACAGTAATGATGTATTGGAGCTAGCGGATGCAGTTTTGAAGGCATACGAGGCCATTTAATTGTCCATGGACACGATAAAAAAAAAAATAGAAAATTATGCTGGGAAAGCAATCTCAATAATTTATGTAAATTCTTTAAGACACGATGTTACTCTTTTTAAAAAACAATTACTTTTATCTGTGTATCTGAAACAATCTTAATAATATATGTAAATTCTTTAATACGCAAAGTTAGCGTTTTTTTTAACAATTATCTATATCTAAAGATAATTGTCTTCTATCTTTTTAACAATTATCTATAACAAAATTACAGTTTTCTTAAAATATTATTTTTCTCCATGTATCTGACCTTTTTTTTTATATAGTATATGTTTACATTTTTTCAGGATGGAATTTTATTCCTAATGCTTTCTTGTAACATTTAACTACGCATATTGACCTCAAATTACACTATTAATTTATTACGAGAAATTTCAATCATGAAAGTAATTATAATCAGTTGTAGTTAGAAGAATTAAAATATAGAAAGAGATATTATCAAGATTTTCACGTAAGAAATAATTTTAAAAATTGACAAGTTAGGGCTATTAAAGTGATCAAAAATCATTATTTTTTCAGGCAGTTTTACTAAATTCACACTAACATTATTTATATTGTTAATTTATATTGTTATTTATATCGCAATCATATTTGTACTAAACTATTAAAAAAATAGTTAAAAATATTTTTTCATTCATATTAAAAAATGTATTAATACAAGATTTTGCAAATTAAGGAAATTTCAATGAGGAATAATTGTTTCTCTTAGATCTAAATAAGTGCAAATTTGAAAAATTATTGTTTTAAAGTGAATGTGTTTGAAAGATCTTTAATGTAGAAAGAGACATCGTTCATTCTGTATTTCCATACCATAAATTATTAATATGTTAAATATAATTGTCAAAAAAGAAAACTTAATTCTTTTTCTACTTCAATAGAACAGGTATCAATAAAAGGTTTCTTACCTGGTTCTTCTACCCGGGTCGGTTCGTATCTAAATAAATATTAAAAGAAATGACCACATACTCAAGAAAAAATACTCTTTCCAATTAGTTAACAGGTGTATATTAACGAAACAACACTGCAAAAAACAACAACACGCTCTCTCCTTAGCCAGTAACACAAAAGCTCTCAAAAATTGTTGTTCCTAGAGAGAGCTCTATATCCAGTGGCGCCATCTAGTTTGTCCTCTGGCAAGGAAAATGGTATTCTGTTTTGAACAATAATATTTTCCACTTCTTTCGACCTAAATTAATACTAAATAATGCAAGAAGTATGAAAAATATGTTAAATAAAAATTCTGCCTCACAGGGCATGTATAAACATTTCAGTTCGTTGAGTACATAATGCAATTTTTTATTTTCAGTGTAATTCTTAAATCCAAGAAAGTTTGTTTCCAAAGCATATCTGTTGCTGGATTTTGGCGGATGTTTATGCATGTTGAAGATAATAAGTCTTTGTATTTTCAGGTAACAGTAGGGACTACAGTTTTGGGTTACATGATTCTTTTTGGTCTGCTTCTTTTATACGCTGTCAATTTCGCTTTTATCTTAACTCCCACTGAAGGAACTTGTGGTGTTCGAAGGTTTGGCTTGGGACTTTCATACGCAATAATATTCTCCGGAATGCTGGTGAAAGTGATGAATATTTGGAGGATGATGGGATACAGAGGAAACCATTTCTTCGGTGATGTTTACCATATGACGAATCCTGCTGCCTTGCTAGTGGTTGCTGTGGGACTTGTTATAATACAGGCAAGTTATTTTTAACTTTTTCATCGAGACGGACGAGATAACTGGTCTTCCAGAAACACTCGCTTTTGCTCTATTGTTGTATGAGTGAATGTAGTTATTGATTGTAATTGGTTATTATTTTTAAAGTCCTAAGAAATAATCTCTTTTTATAAGTCTTAAAGGAATTTCAATTTCAGTGCTATGGGGGGGGGGGAACTTTAAGCACAGAGGGTGGGACAAAGTCACGTCATTGCAACTATGACAGTGTTAAGAAGGAATTGTTCATATATGTTTTGTACGAGTACTATTCGAGTTAGCGAGTATTTAATAGTTTTTAACAAATATTCTGCCTATAACTAATATCCGTATTTAAAATTAAAACTTCTTTTGCTTCTTAGTAAGAATGAAAAAATTGGGCACATTTTTGAAGTGTCCGAAACATGACGCTTCTCTTCTGGACAAGGAATTGATGAAAACGAAACAGAATTGAAAAAAAGGGAAAGGTACAATGGTAAAAGAAAGAAAAAGAATTAAAAAGAGAGAAAACCACGGTAGCCGAGGGGTTGAGAGTGGCAGAAAAAGGCAAATCAGAGGGATGAAAATTTCAATACACAATGTAGGACGGGAAAGAATTAAGATCATTTACTAGAAAATCAGTGTAGATAAAGAAACAACATCATGGTGAGCTATTGTGTCAAGAGTAGAAGCAAATGTGGTGTTATCAAAATTAAATTATACCAACGCCTTCAAATAAAAATACTGCAGCAGTTGATAAGTAATCGAAATCCTGATATCTCTTGCTCGATATATCCCTTGATTTTTCTTTTCGATTTCCTGTTTAGCTGCCATGATTATCCTTTGTTTTTCTCTTATTAATCTCCCCATTTACCATTCTATTTTTAATAAGCTATTGTGATTTTTCTTTTCTTTTTTCGTATTTATCTTTCGTGTTTTAGATCCTCATAACATGCCGACCATTTCCAATTCTAACAGTCAAGCAAAGGAAGTTTTTTTCAAACGTAGTTTTTGTTTTAGTTTTCTTGAGATTGTTCGTTTTAAGCAACTCTCATGGTTTTCGGACATAGATAGCGCTAGATGATCGTATGACCCATATTATGAAATATGAAACTTGAATTTTTTTCAGTATAATTAATTTTACCACAAAATTTGCTTGTGCAAACTAAATGTTCTGGAGACATTGTTTTTTTTTTTTATTTATTTACAGGTGATTCTATCGGCAGCTTGGCTTATTTTAATCCCTCCGACTACGGGACTACATGCTGGGGAATGGAGATGCCATCCAGCGACTACATTTGAAGATGAACTTGTCATATCTTTGGTCTATGTCATGCTGATGCTCGCCATAACGATGCTTTTCTCTATACTTACATGGTCCAGCAAGGATAACAACAAAGAATCTAGGTTATGAATGAACATTTTCTACTATTAATGCTTATTTTTATCGTGTTAACAAATATTTGTAGGAAACACGTCAAACATGTAACGCTTACAGTAAATGAGGTGCAGCTATCAGTTTTCATGACTATTCTAACATCTCTTAAAAAATTTATGTGACTTAGATACCTATTTAAAATCTTTCAAAGCAATCACCACTTTTCGGAGAGATATATGAAGGGTGGTAATTAGAGAAAAGCTTATTTTTGATTTTTTTTTCAGTAGTTTTAAAAACCCAATATATTACTCATATTATTGCGATTGAATGATTTTATTTCAATTTCTGAACTATTAATTAATATTTTCCTTAATGTTTTGTTTCTAGATGGATTTTCACCTGCTGCTTCCTTATTTCCCTTGTGTGGGTCACGTGGACAATTTTATCGACGCAGATCATCCACAAGTACCGAGATCTTACTATATCAGCTGCCAATTTGATCTGCGCGTCTATAGTTATGCTCTGCATGTATCTAAGAAAAGTGTACATTTACAACAAACTTACCAAAGACGAAGAAAATAAAGCTAAACTACAGCAGACAGCATCAATGCCAGTGGCACAAAATGTGTATGGCACTCTGACAAGACCAGCGCCAATTCCTGGTATGACCGGATCTAACTATCATACAGGTTAGAGTAAAAACAAGCTAAATTAAATTGTATCATATTAGGTCAAATAAATCTATATCATAAAATCATAAAGATAATTAAATAATAATAAAATTTTGATAAGTCAAATGTCAAGCTAAAATATATTGATAGTCAATTGTTAGCTTGGCAGCAAAAAAATTGATAAAAATTAAAGATTAAAAATAGGCTAAATTTGTAAAAATTTCAACTTAAGAGTAAGCTTTACTGATAAATAATCGAAATTGATGAAACGTCAAGACAAAATATAACTTAATTACAGAAGAGCTTTTTTAATGAATATGTGTAATCAGGATTAATAATTAACAATTTTGTTGTAACACTCAGACATAGAAATTAATTTCGCAAAACTGCTCTCAAGGCAAAGCTAGAATCAAAACAAAGCGTATAAAAATTACGATATGATCTTCAATGACTTTATAAAGTTTCTATTAAACAAACTAAGGATAAAAATCTTTTAGTTATTTTACGAACTTTACCTATATATTTAACGGAAAAACCTTAGTTTATAAAATGCAACTTTTGAGATAGATTTATTTTTGGGATCAATTTTTTTTTCTGAATAAGGATTGCACAATCTGATTATGGAAATATTTTCTTCTGAATATGGTATGCACTATCAATGCATCGGGTTACCCGTTCGATTTTTCTTATAATGTTTTGCTTTTATATCAAACTTTTGATTTTGTCTCTCATAAGTAATTACATTTAAGAATTTTAAAATGTTCAAATTAAAGAAATGCATAAAACTTAAATATAACGGTGGAATGTTTGGAAATTTTTGAGCGTACTGATATTGTTCACATTTGTTGCAACGTTATAACGCTAAGTCGAACCATAAGACCGTACTTAATTCTCAATTTCGGTGCACAAATTATGGTTAAACTTAACATTCAACATTTTATTAAAATTACGATCAAATTTGCCCTATATTATGGCTTAACTGAGCCGATTTTCTGTTTGTGTAGGAAATTTTATTACGCGTTCATGTATCTTAATTAAATTAGTAAAGGCCTGAGAATGTTTTCAGTGATCTTAAAAAATAAAAAAAGCGAATTTGAAGCAAAAAAAGTTTTGCAGAAATAATTAGAAATGGTTAAAACTAATTAAGTGAATCAAGGCATTCTCACAATAACCATTTGTTGACTAAGACGATCTTAGCGATTAAGGCTCCCAAATTTCAAAACCTACATTAGCTACAGTAGCTTCCTTTGTAATTTTACAGTAGCTAGCTTAGTTGGTACCCATCAGAATCTGGGTAGGCATCATCTCCCCTCCGTCGATAGATCCAATTTCCAACACGAGTGATCCAATATCCAACACACCAACAACTCAGTGCCGTAATCGCTGCGCTGCCGTTGTGTACCAAGGCTTACGCATACAATCACTGAGCTTTCGTTGTGAAAGATATCACAATGTCAAGACATACATACAATCACTGATTTGACATCGTGGAGGATATCGCGACGCCAAGACTCGTTTGAGCTGTCATTGCGTACCATCCGACGTTAAAACTTACATTGAAAACAAAGATAATTTTGATAATTATGTAAAAGATAATTTTGATATAATTATGGTTTTGATGAGGAACATAATTAATAATTATGTCCCTCAACAATATTCTTTCAAAATTAATACTATATTATAAATGAATTTTCGAAAAAATAAATATTGACTTTTCATTTGATTTCGAATATTAAGTTGTATAAATAACATAATGTTTAATCTAAAGAAACTGTTACAGGACCTCGCGTGTCTGGTCTGGGTAGCAAGCTAGCAGATAGGGCTCCATCATCTAGAATGGCTCTTATTGCATCAGAGGATGGCAACACAAGTGACAGTGGTTCTGGATCGACCCAAGTTCAAGCTACAGACCTATACCCTCTGGATATGTATGATGGTGGCAGTCAATTTCAACCACCGTCTCTCAGGCTTGGAGGAAGTAGCTTAGTTCTAGAAGAATTAGGACAAAACAACACTGGGTAAAAAATATTTCTTTATTCTCTTACTACCTGTAAGCTCTAAAGTTTAATTTAAAAACAATCCTAAGACACGAAGAGTAATTTAAAAAAATTCTGGCTCGCCATGCGTTCAAGTAATATGATTTATGTCCTTTTTGGAGCCTTTGAATAGAAATTTTTTTCTGAAACTAACTAATAACGTTATGAGTACTATTTATTATATTTAATATGTGTTATCTATCAGCTGAAATTCTTAATATAAATAGTGATATGATGTCGCATATTGNTTTTATTCCCATATATGTAGGCAGTACAATGTAAAAAAACAACGCATGTAAATGTAGAAAATGGCAAGAAAATAGAATAAAAAAGTTCTGAGACCTACAACTTTCTATCAAATAGTGATCTCGAGACGGGACGCACCGAGAATGATATAATCACGGTCGAATAACACGTTTCTGTCGTTGTCCATTAGATAGCTGCAATAGTCTAGTCCCTAGGCGACGTATCCCGTTTTGTCCGACTATCCCGTTTTATCCAACTCTCCCCTACTTCTTGAAGAAGTATTAAAATATTACTATTTTTAATACTTCTTTTTCCTACTATGCTGAAATGTCCCGAACTCATACGTATGGTGGTTTGCATGATTTAAATATCTGTTGGACAGATTTTAAATTATTACTAAAATTCAATACATAAAGAACTCTGACAATATCGTGGATATCTCTAAAAAATAGTTAAAGTTGAAATCGAAGTATTTCTTTGTAGAAAAAGCCGTGGGAAATAACTAGATGGTGGAAAAAAATTGATTAACTTATTGTTTAAAACTAATTAAGGTGTTTGAATTTGAGGAGGGGTTGGAGCATTAGAATATTTAAATACAGTTGTGCTGTGCTTTCGGCTTGGTTACTGGTATAGTTACCATTAAAATTTATATTTTCTATAAAATAGTTTTGAAAGGTGACCATCTTTGTCGCTAAAGGTGGTCAGTAACTAAATGCTTTTCTCTATACNAATTTGAATCCTTGCCTATACTATGCCAGAATTGTTGCTCATTTCGCGTTACCCAGTGGGCACCTGTGAACCAAAGTCACGGAGGCGAGCAACATTGCCCACGCCACACTGCCACAAACCCGTTTATAGGGTGGGCCACATTCACACATCATACACACACACAACAGAGGACAACGCAAAGAGAGAGAGTAATATCCATGCCCAGAGCGGGATTCGAACCCGCAGCCTATGGCTTCGCAGTCAAGCACGCTAATCGCTCGGCCACCTGGCCGGCGTAAGCGTAAATATAACAAATCGTGTTCTACTGCCGTATCAAAAGTTATAAACTTGAAACTTTTTCAATTTTTATAAACTGATTCGCTACTTCACCGATTTACTAATACGCTGATTCATTGAATGATTTTCGTTCTTCTATTGTTTTACCCCCTTTATTCATTTTTGCATCTAGTTGCTAGGTTATAAAAGCTCGCACCTGCAATTCGGTTTTGTCTGACGAATACACAGCGTTACAGGCAGCATATTTCGGGTCATATAATTTAGTGCAAAAGTGCCAAAACGGGAGATTCTCGTTATCCGTAAATTTGACCAAAATCGTTTCATAAAAAGTGGAGGAACTTTTATTTCATTTTGTGAAGGTGCAACCTTCCTGGTGCAACGCTGAATCGTTTTGCTATTTGTCAGATTTTGATGCCATTCTCTTCTCCTCTGTTGTCCTCCCTTAAATACTACTTCCTGTATAACGTTTCTTATGATATGAATATTTTTATATGATTTAAAAAAAATTTGAATTATATTAATATTTTAACAAGGAAGAAAAAACACTAATCTCTTAAATCACTAGTGAGGAAAGTCTGGTTTAAAAATGCCAATAGCCAGTTTGATTTCCTGATGAAACAGGGTGTTTCTTATAATTTCTTTTCAACTTCTGTTTCTTTCAGCAATCAATTTGGTTTTATATTATTCCACTTTCCTCAGTAATTTATCAGATATTACGTGTATATTAATTTCATTTCATTTAATTTTTTAAAACTATTCCAAAAAATTTTAAGGGTAGTTATTATGGAACACACCGTATAATAACAATGATGATTATGCGGAACACATTGTATAATAAGAACGAAGATTATACTGAAAACATTATAGAATAAGAGAAATGATTATGCGGAACACACTAAAAATAAAAACGAAGATTATACGAAACACACTGTATAAAAAAAGCGTACACACTGTATAAAATTATGCGGAACATCCTATTGCGTATTCGTTAATAATTATTAATTTATGCATCGTTACTCATAAATTTTTTTTTAAAATTTTACAGATCTTGAATGCGGCCAATATATTATACAGTTTTAAAGGTTACAAGCTACCACGATACAAACTTGGATGAAATCACAACGAGTCAAAATGCTTGTTAACGTGCAATATTTTGTGCATTACAAAACTGTGAATTCTTCATCATGAGGTTAAAATTTTTCTTAGGTCATAGTTTTGGTGGGCAACTTAGATGTACAAAGTTTCATTTGATATAGCGTGACAGTCGAATTCCTTTTCTCTGTAAAATATATCCTTTAAAAATGATTATTTTTCTCGAAAATTATCGCAATCGAATTCCTGAGCAGGTATCAGGGAATTTAGATGTTATGTTTTATATGTTTCTAAATGTTATATCCTTGTTAAATATTGAGATTTCTAATTGTAGAAAATGTTTTTGTAAATAAATATTTTGTTTTTGGATATATAGAAATTTAACTATATTATTAATTCTTGGTTTCATTAGTGATGATTTTGGTTTTGAAATTGTACTTGAATCATAATAATTCTTCGTTTTTGTAACAGATTTATCTAGAATCATTTTTGCTTTTTGTTTTAAAAGACGTCAGAAATTTTTTTCTATACATTTTGTTGCGACAGAAATAAATAGGCTAATTCGAAATGGATTTTTACTATAAGATTGGTTTCTATTTCTATTTTAATAATTACACTTTATTTCCAAAAATTTTAAAAAATTAGAAAAGTTAACGTTCTAATTTGTGATAAGGTTCACTGTTAAAAATTTTTGTGCAGTAGTGACTTAGAACCAACTATTATTCATCTATTTTTTATTTTAACAAATTTAATTAAATGATTTTTAATTATAAGATATAACCTTTCCTCTATAGTAAAGTCTATTAAAACTGAATATTTTCATTCTAGTTTTTAATTGTTGAATGTTATTGTTTTTTAAATCATTTTTTATCATGGAAATAATGCGATACGCAATAGCTTTTTTTATTACATGAATTATATTAGTAATTTTAGTATATTTAAAGGAACTAGAATTACTTTCAATATTTTTGTATGAATGTTTAACTAATGTCTTAAAAATGATGATTTGATTTGTATGTCACTTTTACAAATCACGTGTTATTTAATGTTCACTGTTTCATTGAGTGTGTGAAGTATTTTTAAAATGTACATAGTTTGGAAATACATTTTGGGAATCGTTGTAAATTATATTTTTTATATGTAATAGAAATAAAGTTTATTTTATTAAACTTTAGTTGTAATCGCATCTTTATTTGCAACTTGTGAGTTCAATTCTATACACAAAAATGTGTTAGCACCATACATGGCAACGTTACTTTTAAAA